GGTTGGAATACATCCACGTATTGTGGCATGAATTAAAGCCTTTCTGAAGATAGATTATTTATGGTGCGCGTTAATGGCATTTTCTCCAGCCCGAGAAAGATGCATAGTGGTGTACCGCAAGGCGGAGTGCTCTCTCCCTTGTTATTTAATATTTACACTTACGAGCTCCCTACAATTCCTTTGAGCCAGGGGATCTCTTGCAGCGCTTTCGTGATTTTTGACTATATGCAGTCGTAAAGGATACGCTAGACTGTGATCAGTGCGCTCAATGAGGTTTATAAATGGTCCCAGTGGCCGTATTCATAAACGAACCCAGTGGGTTCCCCAGTTCCCCACTGGGTAGGCTCAACCCACGAAATCGGTATTCACGAAGCTAGTGGGTTAGCGAACCCAGCAGTGCTTGTGATGAGTATCGATCTTAGCCTGTGGGTTCCCAAAATTACGAAAGTTGATGAATACGGCCCCAGGAGTGGTCTCTTCTGATTTCTATAGAGAAAACCAAAGTTACATATTAGACCAAAGATCTGTAATCAGAATTTCAAGTACCTTCTTGGGAATCTTCTCTTCAAGATGATCCTATAAGAGAGCTGGGCTTCATGGTTATGAGTGACCTCACTTTTGACGATCACTGCAAACTGATAGCAAATAAAGCCACTAGGTCGGTATAACTTCACAACTATGCAACTTTTTAGGGCTTTTGCAATCAATACAAGACCTCTCTTGAAAGCTTACAAATCATTCATCAGGTCTATGATAGAATATGGTACAGTTATATTTAGTCCACATTTGCGTAAAACGAGTGACTTTATGGAAAGAGTTCAGAACAGCTTCACACGCAAACTCTTCATCCGTAAAATTGGCTTTAGATATGGTCTCATACCAAACGGTATGACTATGAATAGTGAATTAGGACTCTCATCTCCAGCTTATAGAAGACGCAAGTTCGACCATCTCATGGCACATAAGACGGCATATGGCCATTGCGGCTTAGAATTCGGGGCTTTTTTTCCTCACTAGGATATCTAATACAAGAGGTGGAAGTAGGAAACTGATTATCTCCAGGCCAAAGCATAAGGTTCGCAGACATTTTTTCACATGTCGTGTCACTGACGACATGGATAAGCTCATTAGAAAACTCTTATATTCTGCAAAGTTGTCTTCGTTTAAAGCCGCTTTGAGGAGCTATCTGCAGTCTCAGTGAATTGTTGTTATCAGGGCTCGGCACAGCTGGCACCGGGTCAAGCTGGATATCGTTTTTAAAGCGGAAAGCAAAGGGGATATCGTTTTCCGAGGTCCGGGCGGAGAAGGGCCGCAAGAATGCCGGCGGCATGCCACCGGTATGCTGTCCACAAACAAACAAAGGCTTTGTTTTCAGCCAAAACACAATAGTACGACACCAAATTTGGTGCGTGCATGCGCGTTGGGGGACCCGAACTATAGCCCAAAAATTTATGAAAACTTATGTGATTGAAATCTGTGCTGAGCTTTTTTCTGAATTAGCTGGCACCGACACTTTGCCTCACATAAGTTTTCATACTTTTTACATAAAGTGTATCTACACTGTTGAAGTTTACATACAGAGAAGAAACAATTTCATAACTATTTCTTTTCAGCGTTTTATAGCCATTTGGAAATTACTCGGTCTGCTCCGCAGTCGAAAAATCGGCTTTTTCTGCTTCTCAAGATGTGATTCAACCACTTGAAAAGCTCAGAAAGCTGTAAAGTTGTTTCATGAAATCAGCATGCTGAAAATCCTACTACATACTTTCACATAATCTGCAAATAATGACGGGTCTTCAAAACAGGTCAAAGGGGACTTGATACAAGATCAAACGGGACTTCGTTTTGAAATTTCCCTGATGCCAGCTCGTGCCGAGCCCTGGTTGTTATCGTCCTTTCCCTCCCTAGTATAGCGGGCGGAGCTTTGCCGACGTTTGCCAACGTATGCGCGTGGCAGTTTTCAGCAGCTAGAGAGTAGAAAAACTAATGCTTTGAAGTGGAGGTTCAACAAGTTTTTCAACGTGTTTGAATGCCTGCACGGCCACGCCCGCTATATGCATGGGAAACGCCTATACTAACACGGGTTATCTAGGAGCTATCACATAACCTCACATTTTCGTTTGTTTTTTTTTTTGTTTACTTGTTGATTATCATAGGATCACCCTCTATGCAGTAAATGAAATGAAATTTGGTGCCATATCGTTAAGCGTACATTGAAATCTAATCAAGTATCATTCATTCTAGGACTAGGAGACGCGAGACCGCTTTGCACGCATTGTCTAAACAAGCTTAATCGTGTACTTAGCAGGTTTATACTTGTCATTTATCTCGCCCACCTTTTTTTACTCTTCGGAAACAGGGAATAACAAACTCAAACATGTTAAGACAATGTCCGCAATGCGGTCAGGCTCTCATAGTCGTAGAATAGATGATAGGCTGTTCGAATTAGCATCGGTTAAGCGACGTCGTGCGTGCGACAATTGACGAGGCGCGATTTGACGAACTCACTGTCCTGTTGGGCCACATAACATGTTAAGATAAGCAGAGAGCAGTTACCAATCTTTTGCTGGGCTTCGTTCCGGACCACGCAAAGACAACATCCCTTTTGCATTTTTCACCCAAAACGATTTTCAGCCTGTCATCTGCCCACCTCGTGCCGGGCCTTGTTCACATATCTGATACCTAATCTTTGTTTGAAGCGTCGAATTAAAAATCCAGTAGAATCCAGCAGTTAGAAATAACACGTGAATATTCTTGAAAAGCCTCGAAGCTTTGAGAGATTATTGTTCGACAACATATTTGATTAAAGAAGAGTAAAAACACTGAATCATGCTTGGATGCTTTTTAGTTTACTCGCTACGAAGTTGTATGAGCAAAAGCAAAAACCTTCGAGACGATCTCATAGGAAGAACCTATAGTAAACAGGAGTTCATTGTAGCAGACTACTTTCTACGTATATTATTAAAACTTGGAGGATATAAATAGACTACCCTAAAATCCGTCATATAAGAGCGGACTTATCTGCAGTTTTGGCAGGAAAATCGATGGAAAAACGCCGCAAAGGGTGTCACAGATAAGTTCGCCTAAATCGTCTCGCAGATACGTCCGTCTGTCCTGAGCATGAGCAAGCGCGACCTAGGAGCACAGACGCGCGCGACCGCTCGCGTGGCTTGCCAGTGTAGATTTAAACGAGGCCGCGATATCGCCTGAAAGAAAGAGCTCAAGGATTCGACAAGTCGTACAGTCTACTTGGTGGTCGTCGCGGATTCTTCATCGCGTACGCTGGATAGGTGAGTTCTTTTCCTATATATGACACCTGTATGAAATTGAGCGATTTCTGCCGATGAAAAGAATCATAATAGGTTTCATCATTGCATCATTGCAATCATCTCAACTTATCATTCATCTTATCGTTTTGGAGGCGACAATGTTTTCACTACATCTCTCGAACCCGTACAGGCTACAACCCTTGAACCTGACTCCTACACTTTTGCTTCCTCTATTGTTTTCATGTTCTGAATGTAGTCTCTGTTGACCCATGCCATACGGCTTTTGTCAAATGCTTTCTTGAACGGAAGAGTGACAGTCTGAGAATGCTCAACCTTAGCAAAGCATTAGGCTTCCTTGTTATTTTCCTCAATTGTTGCTTCATTAAGCCTGTACATCCAAGACAAAAGATAGTGTAGTAAAATTTGATGCCGCCTGCTTTTCCTTGTATAAAAGAGTAAACCTTTCGATGACCAGCGCAAATTTATAGGACTCCGCGTGATTCCAGTGTGCAATGACCGGTAACTCAGCGAAGTTCACAATCACGCGGGGCCCTATATTTCCAGCATAGTCTCACATGCTTTGACTTAAGCTTTTCAGGTGTCTCGCATCTCAATGGCTATCAGAAGGAAGTCCTACACCGCGCTTTTTAAGCTTAACGTGGTGCAATATGCCTTGGAACATGGAACATCGGCTGCCGCTGTTCACTACGAAGTCTCTGCTCGTCTGATTCGAAGATGGAAGGCCGATAAGGAGAATTTGGAGGATATGCCACTGAGGAAACGCGCCAACCGTTATGGGAAGCAAAAGGTAGAGGAGATCGAGAAAGCTGTCTATGCATGGATTGTGCAGAGGCGGGAAGCAAGCAGAGCAGTGCTTGTCGAGGACATTCGAGCGAAGGCATTGCAGCTAGCGCAGGAATCTGGCCGGCAGTACTTCAAGGCAACGGAATCGTGGTGCAAACGGTTTATGATGAAAAGGAACTTAGTCATTAGAAGAAGAACCACCATCGGTCAGCCACGTTTTGATGATGATAAACATGGAATGGAAACTGTATAAAGATTTGTTGCTTCGGTTCATTCTGAGACCAAAAGTGGCAGCGCAATTGCGCACCCTTCTTGTTTTTATGTGAAAAAATAAGGCGGACTTAACCGCGGGACTTGGCGGCGCGCGAGGCGCGCGAGGCTGTCACGAAAGCGGACTTAACTGAGAGCACTTTTGCGGTCTTATCGGCGAGGCGGTCTTTACTGCGAGCCGATCTTATATGACGGATTTTAGGGTACATATTATTTCGTTTCAGTGTCAGTATCTTGAGATAAAGGAAAATTTGGTGAAGTTTTATTACACAACTCTTGGCATGCTATTCTGCACTTTTTCTGTTTACTTTTTCTCTCTTTGCGCAAATTATGCAGAGCATCTGGAAAATCGTGATAGCGCATGTGCTTTATCTAGATATGTGTTGTCTTCATACCATTTTACAAGCTAAGGTTCACAGATAGGGGCAGAAGGGGAGGGGGGGGGGGGGAGCCGAATAAAACAACGTTGATTTTTGAAAGCCACATTTTGTCAGATTTTTGTTCCATTACGAAGCACTGCAGACAGAAATAATAAATATACATTCATCACAATGTACAAAATGGGAACAACAACAGGAAAAAAATATAAGCACTCTTAAGAATATGGATTGACTTCACTGAATAAATTCGACTGGGCACTTTCCGAGATCCACATTTTCAGGAGCGATTTCGTGGATGAGGGCGAAAGACTGTGATTCGTCTGCTTTCTGAATAGTTGCTGACTGAGTCTGACGACTTGCCTAAATCATTTTTTCTAGTCTATAGTGGTACGGCGAATGCTCGTGCTTGCAGGCAGTTTAGTTCAGAAGTTGTGGAATTTTGATTTGATATTACGTTGCTAGTTCCTTCCTTCAAATTAACGGGATGGCGGCTGGAAGGCGGGGCTTCGAGGACTAACCAAGACTAGGGTATGATCAGAGAGCACAACTCGCGAGAGAGACGCAGACTGCGTCGCAGGTGCGGGCGGTCGCCTTCCACCACGCCCCGGTTGAATCAAAGGGTAAGTGATGTAACAATTAACGGAAAAAATCCTCATAATTTTTTCAAAGGACTATCTCATTTACAATAGTAATGTTGTATCATCGATATTTACACGCTTATTTTGTGGAGGCCATTCGAATTAGAGTACCACTCTAGATCATTTAACAAAAATTAAGCGAACTGCGCTGGCGGTACACGTGCAGAAGACTTGTGGACTTCTGCCAAATCTGCCAAATCGCCAAATCACATGGCCCCCATAACCCAGTTATGCTCAACACCTCACCATCTATCCTATGCAGCTTTAAGAACATCGTGAGCACAGCGATGAAGAGAGCCGCACAAACTGCGCCAAGACCACCAGCCACAGCGAAGAGGCCGCTTCTCGAGATGGCACAGTCCGACGACTCTGAGGCTAAGCAGAAGAAGCTTTATACCATGCTCAGAAACAAGAAACTCGATACTCACCAAGCTTTGACCCCCTCGCTGCCGCAAGTTCAGGCGGCTCCTCGTCCAATTCGAAAATCATTAACTGTCCAGCTATCATCGGCTTATCGCTGCTGTTCATCTCATCCTTGGAGCGTGATCTCTCTTCTTGTCGACTGTCATCGATAGGAGGCACGTCGCGACGTCGTGCTGACGTCCAGTCCACCTAATTCATTAATGTGAGAATAAATCACAGTCAGCTCTTGCACAGACTTGAATCTGATCGATCTTATCACCAGAACGTAGATCACCCGCACGGAGCTCCCTCATCATTCTTGTTGGACGTCGGTCAAGCTTCTGTAGAAAATAGACAAAAAATGTCAGTCAAGTGTTGTAAATTAGATTCAAAAAACTAAATTTTAGCAGAGAGGTTGTATAATTCGAAACACTCAAATGCATTCTCATTTCTTTGTTATGGTTAAGCTACCTTCAATTGTTTCTTGAGCAATTCGAAACCTTCGAGAAGAGCTTTGCGGTCGTCGACAGAATCCCTGAAAAATCAACTTTGAACCTCATCATATGTGTATTCTTGCGCTGATGTACCCCCATTTCCTAGGTTGAATCAAGATTTCTGTCGCACCTTTTTCGAAAAGTCACGATATTTTGCTGTATCAATATTTTGAAACGCTTCAATTTAGACAGAGAAAGTCATCATCTTTTTAACCGTTACTTTGTTGTAGCAGAAATGCGCGAGGTACACACAATGGAATAGAAACTGATATATCGAATATGAACCAGACTCGAGTTTGGCATTTTTGAGCAGGACCTTCAATGTACAGTACCCACACTAATTATTCGACAGAAAACGCAAAAACTGACGATCCGCGTTTTTTGTTGTTGAAATTGTTGATTGTTGCAAATTGTTCAGCTCGTCAAGATGAATCTTCTGATTTACTACACTCTCTTATTATTTCGTTTTCAATCTGCTCGATTTTTGTGTGAGGAAGGGTTTTCGTAGTGGTGTAACTTAGCGAAGAACACCCCTGTAAGATCCAGATAAACACAATTCGATAGAGCTGTCCCCGTAGATTATCACGCGCTAGCGATTAATGAAGAATCCTTTTTGCATAGAGAAAGACAGGCCCGTGAATTTTGAAAAAATCGATGTCTCTCAAATCTTAGCTATCGTAACCGTACAGTAAGACGCTAATTTGCAGAGCAGGTGTGTTTTTCGTGATTAGCAAACTAGATAACCTCTATGCGCAAGTTTTCCAAGAAATTTGGGCCCTTTGATTTTTTCCCGTTTTAGGCTGTGCAGCTCGCCGACAGGTTTTGGCTAAAATATTGATGATCTTGGATTGACTGGAAACTCGATCGCATATTTTGGCCAAATATCACCGCAGATGATTACAGATCACTCTGATTGCAGATATTATGTCTATGTACATATGTAAAATGATAATCCCAATCCAGCATACTTGCTTACCCTACGTCAACTCTTACACCTGTAGCTCAAAGTTTGCGAAAAATCGGAGAGTCGCTAAAGATGATTGTTTCTAAAAACTAGCATTGTATCCGTAAGCATTCTCACTCACCTATTTATACCAATTCCCAGCCCGGTAGCTCAAAGTTTGCAAAAACGGTAAATCGATATTGACCGATGGTGAAATGTAGTCTGCGCGACCGACCCGGCTCCTGAGTTGTGCGCAAAGTTTGGTCTGCATTGGTCCAGAGATGCAGTTCTGTTGGGAACATACGCACAGACAGACAGATGAAACAGACATTTCTTTTTTCCTCGCATGTGTCCCGCTTAAGCAGGGTCTGCTTTTCTTGTCAGATGTCTCCATGTCATCCTATCTGAGGCAAGGTCTTCGTTTATACCAAGTTCTCGCAGGTCGGCCTTGATTTTGTCCATCCATCTCATCTTGGGTCTACCTCTGGGCCTTTTGCCTGGTGCCTCCACAGCCAGGGCCAACTTGGTGATGTGACTTTCATCCCTTCTGCGCACATGCCCATACCATCGTAACCTCTTTTCCTGCATTTTCTGGGCAATTGGAGCTACTTCCATTCGTGCTCGTATAGTGTCATTGCAGGTGTGATCCTTCAGTGTGACTCCTAAGGTCCATCGTAGCATCCTTGTTTCCATGACACTGAGCTTGCGCTCTTCGTTCCGCGTACACGGCCAGCACTTACTGCCATACAGTGCTGCTGGGCGGATAACGGTCCGGTACAGTTAGGACTTAAGTTGTACTGGCATTCGTCTGTCGCACAGAACTCCTGTTAAGGCTCTCCATTTCATCCATGCTGTGTTCATCCTGCCTGCGACCTCCTCTTGTAAGCCCCCTTCGCTTGGATATGGCTGCCTAGGTACTTGTATGACGTCGTCTTCTTTAGCTCTTCACCATCAATGCTTATGGTACCTGGAGTTTGTTTCCCCACTTCCATATATTCTGTCTTCCTGGTGTTGAGCTTCAGGCCATACAACTCTAGCCTGTTTTTCCAGTTTTGCACCTCGTCTTGTAGCTCCTTTCTGGTACTTGCTACCAAGACCACATCATCTGCGTAGAGAAGTGTCCAAGGGGGTTCACGTCTGAGCGGTTCCATCACGGCGTTCATCACAGTGATGAAGAGCAAGGGACAGAGAACTGAACCTTGGTGAGCTCCAACCTTGATCTGGAATTCTTTCGATTGCCCTGCAGCTGTTTGCACGTGGCTTGATGCGTTGTGGTAGATCAACTTTATCCACTGAACGTACTCCTCTGGCACCCTGTGTTTCCGTAAGGCCCAGCATATGACTTCATGTGGCACCTTATCGAAGGCTTTCTCCAGGTCCAGGAAGGCTACATGCAATTCCTTCTGCTTCTCTCTGTATCTCTCCATCACTATCCGAGCGGAGTGGATTGCATCAGTTGTACTTACTCCTTTCACAAATCCGCACTGATTCGGTGACAACTCTATGATATTTCGAAGGCGTGTTTCGATTACTCGCTCGAAGATTTTTAGAATGTGGCTCATCAGTCGGATTGGTCGGTAGGATGCGCAGTCTGCTATGTCTCCTTTGTTCTTCCATATCGGGATGGCCGTGCTGGTGTACCAGTCGCGAGGCATACTCTTGCTCCTTATGACTTGATTGAGGAGATTTGTTAGCCATGTGGCTCCGGATTGTCCACATAATTTCCAGAACTCGCTTAGTATGTCGTCTGGATCAGTCGCTTTGCCATTCTTTGTCCTTTTTTACGGCCAGCCATACTTCCTCTTCCGTGACTGCTGGCACTGGTCCCTCTATGGGGCTGGCTTCTGGGATGGAGTTGATGGTGCGGCCTGTGGTGGCCATCTCTTCGAAGTAGGTTCTCCATCTTTCGGTAATGTCCTCTGGTTTTCTTAGCATCCTACCAAGTTTGCCTTTGATATGGAGGAAGTGTTCCATATCTTTTGTGGATTCCGCTCTTCTTCTCGCTATTCGGTATATCTCGCGTTCTCCCTCGCGAGATTCTAGTTGGTCGTAGACCTCTTTCAAGTACACCTGTTTTGCCTTCTTTACGGAAGCCTTCGTAGCGCGTTTGGCTTGTTGGTACGTCTTCCGATCGTCCCCAGTTTCGTCTTATGCCATCGCTTGTACGCATCCCTCTTCTCCTTTATAGCTTTTTGTACTTCGTCATTCCACCACCACGTTTCTCGATTAATCCTTCTTTTTCCTGGCTTTGTACTGCCCAGGTTCAGCTGTGCCACTTGGTGGACTCGATCTTTCAGGTTTGCCCAGGATCGTTCTGGGTTCTCTTGCAGGCTTGGTAGAGTTGTTAGCAGTGTTGTTTCGCTGCGTTGCTGGTCTTCAATCTCCACCATTTGATGCGTGTCCTGGTCTCTGTGGCTCTCCTGATGTGCTTGTCCATCGTTATTTGATGTCGAAAGCAGTGGTTTATGTTGAGGTATGCAGCTCTCACCGGGAATGACTTTGCAGTCCTTTACGTTCTTGAGGTCACACTGTCGGATAGCCCAGAAGTCTATCTGTGTTCGTCGGTCGCCACTCGCATATGTAATGAGGTTTTTGATGTAGTATGTGTCCGCCAAGACCAGATCATGGGCTGAGGCGAATTCCAGAATACGCTCACCTCCTTCATTGCATGTTCCGTATCCGTGGCCTCCGTGACATTTTCCGGCTTCTCCTCGCCTTTCTCCCACATGTCCGTTGAGGTCCGCTCCTAGCAGGAGTGTCTCTTCCTGTGGAATTGAACTGATGTGGTCATCCAGCTCCTGCCAGAACGCGTCTTTTTCATCATCCTTACCTCCGACTTGTGGAGCGTAGGCGGTGATTATTCGTAGGACCTGTTTCCCGGTATCTATCTTGATGCTCATCAGACAATTAAACAGACATTCATTTGAGTTGTTTTTTCTGACCCCTGTTGGGACAAACTGTTTTGTGAAGACGGTTCTGAACTCCTCTTAACGTTGATGCAAGAAAAAACATGGTAGATAGGATGAACAAAAGTAAAATAGCAAGATTGACCAGCCTTAGAGATGCAAATAGTGAATGACTTATGCTTTTATCTTAACCAGTGATGAACGGTTGCAAGGAGACGCCTACGATTTTATGATGAGATTGGACTTTAGGATTCCAACTGTTATTGTTTATTATTATCTCTAAGGGAACGGTCATAGGTTGCTGACAACGGTTGCCGGAGTTGCCGAGGTTGCCGGTCGTTGTAGGACCTCATGATAGCCTCTACATTACGCGCACTCTCTAAGCTGTCTCTGACTCCGGCAACGCTGGCAACCTCGGCAACCGTTGCCGGCAACCTATGGCCTTAACATACCAAACTCAAGTGAATGTCTGTTTCATGTGTCTGTCTGTGCGTATGTTCCCAACAGAACTGCATCTCTGAACCAATGCAGACCAAACTTTGCGCACAACTCAGGGGCCGAGCCGGTCGCGCAGACTACATTTCGCCATCGGTCGATATCGATTTACCTATTTTTTGCAAAATTTGAGCTACCGGGCTGGGAATTGGTATAACTAGGTGAGTGAGAATGCTGATTACGGATACAATGTTAGTTTTTAGAAACAATCATCTTTAGCGACTCTCCGATTTTTTGCAAACTTTGAGCTACAGGTGTAAGAGTTGACGTAGGGTAAGCAAGTATGCTGGATTGGGATTATCATTTTACATATGTACATAGACATAATATCTGCAATCAGAGTGATCTGTAATCATCTGCGGTGATATCTGGCCAAAATATGCGATCTTAAAATTTTGAACTATTTTCATGAGGACGTGAGTTCGTAAGCTCACAGTTCGCCGATCAATACCGATGAGGGCCTAGTTTAAGCATTGTCTGAGAGCACTGTCTCTAGTAATTTCAAATTACAAAAAGGAGCAGGTAAGTTGTCCAACAGATACGCGGAAAGGGCAGACAAATTTAGGAATTTGCGTAGTATCACAGCGTTCCTCTACGCATAACCCTGCTAAATGAGGTTACTTTGCACAAAGAGCACCATTTGCGTGATCAACGACTTCGAAAGCCTCTATGGGCGAAGTTTCCAGTCAATCCAAGATCATCAATATTTTAGCCAAAACCTGTCGGCGAGCTGCACAGCCTAAAACGGGAAAAAATCAAAGGGGCCAAATTTCTTGGAAAACTTGCGCATAGAGGTTATCTAGTTTGCTGATCACGAAAAACACACCTGCTTTGCAAATTAGCGTCTTACTGTACGGTTACGATAGCTAAGATTTGAGAGACATCGATTTTTTCAAAATTCACCGGCCTGTCTTTCTCTATGCAAAAAGGATTCTTCATTAATCGCTAGCGCGTGATAATCTACGGGAACAGCTCTACCGAATTGTGTTTATCTGGATCTTACAGGGGTGTTCTTCGCTGAGTTACACCAATACGAAAACCCTTCCTCACACAAAAATCGAGCAGATTGAAAACGAAATAATAAGAGAGTGTAGTAAATCAGAAGATTCATCTTGACGAGCTGAACAACATGCTCTCTTCGGATTTGTATCTTATGCAATCTGAAGGAAGTTATGGAGAAAAAACGAAAAAAACGCGGATCGACAGTTTTTGCGTTTTCTGTCGAATAATTAGTGTGGGTACTGTATGTACATAATCCTTACACGATGTTGACTTGCTACGTGCTGTGGTAAAATGTGGTATGGAGCCTCAAATTCGCAAAAAACGGAGAGCGACACTTTCTTGATGGCTTTTTTGCATCACTTTCAGACTCCTTTCTGTAAAAAAAGAAGTGAATTTTTCCGATAGGGGTAAATGACTATTGCTAATTGTGGAAATTGTGCTAATGAATAATGTCCATTTTCTGCTTTTTATTCAACAAATTCAAGTTTATTTGGGCAATTACAGGAAAAGACAGCAAAAAATTCCACTTTTGTCCTCCAGCGAATTTGAGTCTATAGTTAAGCGTTGCAATTCCAACGCTGTGTAAAAATTTGTGCAATTTTTTGGTGTACCTGCTCTCTTTCAATATCTTTACAGAATTTGCTTAGAAATTGCCACACTCGAGTTTCTTTGATTGCTTTTACCTCTCGCATACTCTCCTAATAGGTTATTGTTAGAACAAACGGTACTTTTCCGTTATCCGGACCCTTTTTAAAAAACCATATCATTTCTGGGTTTGAACCATATTTACACCTTCACTGGAAAGAGTGCCAACCTCCTGCCAGTGTCGAAAAAAGTTGGCATGCCATCTACACGTTTAACAGGTTTTATCGAGAGTTTGTGTTGCTTACCTGCCAACGTTATTTGAGTTTTTTAGTCAATAATGTACCCATTTTTGATTCAACAATCTCAAAAATGAACGCTTACGAACGTAAGGAACCCGCTTTTAGGAATATATTAGATTTGCTTAGAATAGAAGAATGTCTAGGCTACTAGAGGGGTGTGGTGTGGCAGGCGACAATCTCCAAATCTCGTGCCTCTCAATACTCTTCGGTGCTAAAGTGACACGGCACCAGAGTAGAGGGTGAGGGCAGGCAAATACACGACTCTATGCCATGAGTAAAATTTCTCAAAAGTTAGCAAAAGCGATTTCACACTGCTTGCATTTTGCGCGCACTGTCGCCTTCCGCGTCCCCCCCCCCTAAGTGAAGCAAGCGGCAGCGGGCTGCTTTATGCCAACAGTGCCATCCTTTCCCGGCTGCTTTCGCATAACGGAAAATCTGAAGAGGAACAGCTTTGAACCTTCGTCAAAATGATCAAGATGAACTAATTAACGTTTTGGATTGTTTTGCTTTCATGAAAAAAGAGTCGAACTTTTTGAAGCTTTGACCCAATTCTAATACTTGCTTACCTTACCGGAAATGATTTCGAAAAACATGTCAAAGCAAATCAAAACGTGTTAACTTTTTCTTTAATACGTGGCGGACCGATAGTCTTTATAAGGTCTATGTAAAAAAACCCCCTAGAATAAAGCATGTATTTCATGAGCGCTCTTCTAAAAAAAAAAAGGGTCCGGATAACGAAAAAGTACCGAACAAACTATGGTAAAGAGGATAATTTTCTTAGTTCAACAAAATTAAAGTGATAACAATTCTTGATGCAACTTCTTTTTACAAAATGCAACAGGAACTTTCGCTTCAACCTAATATTAGGCCCTCCCTATGAAAAATAAGTTCTACATTTCTGTAACAATACTTCATGCCAGCTATTAAAGAAGAAATGCAGTCTTACCTAAACATCTTCTGAAGCGTTTCTGGACTCAGATCATCGGGCAAGTTCGCCAGCAGATCCGTAAGATTTGGAGGTATCGTAACGTCATCGTAATCGTTGTAGTCACCTGTAGGAATTCAAAATTGCCAACACTTTTTTTGATTGTGCGTTCCTCTTTTTGTCCGCGTTTAGTCCACTTTCTCTACTGACCCCTATTCGCAAATGACTAGAACTCGAGAGGCTAATTGGATGAAAACGACAGCGACAGTGAACTTGAGCGCACAAAAGCGAAATAACAAACTACCACACTTAGCTACTAAATACACCAGCTATTACATTCAACTGTTACTCTCATAATGCGCCAATAGCGTCAAAAGGAAGAGCTATAACACGAATTTGAATTACATTTACAAACAAAAAGTCGCAGCATTTTCGGATATAGTAAGCACAGTTTAATCTTGGTCCTGACGAAATCGCCTCTGATAAACGATAAGAGAGTTTGTATCATAGATCGTATAGCTGTAGTTCGAAGCTTCTAAAAGCGATCAAGATGTTCTGACGAACGTTTTGGACTGCTCCGCTTTCATAAAACAAAACAGAAGAGCATTTGAGCCATTACAAACTTCTCATATCTCAACGGAGATGATTTGGATGGGTCAGACTGATTCAAATGTGGTAAGTACTTTATAACACGTGGCAGTTACACAATCCGTATAAAATCTATGAGAATCCTTAGACTATGGCACGAAGAGAACTCCAAAAGATGGTTCGATGGTTCAAAATACCATATTTTTAATTATAACGAGCATGATAGTAAACCCACGATTTTAGTGATAGTGAACGTAGCAATGACAACAAGCGGATGCAAATGGTGGGAAATCATACCGACAAAACTTCGTCACCAAATGTGCAGAAAAGGTGGCGCTGTGATTCATAATTTATTGAAAATATTTTTGAAGTTCTGCAAGCCCCGACAGATAAAACTGGCCCACATATAACAAAAGTTTTTGTGACCTGAACTGACAATCACACTGTACATGTAGCATCTAGCGAAGCGTATCTCAACAGTAGACGGCAACAATTATTTCAAATTATTAACAATTTAATTTTATCAAATTTTATCAGAGTGCAATTTCGTCGACCTGGCAAAATTAGACTATGGTTGCTACATTCGAAAGTGCTGCAGTTTTTTGCCCGCAAACGTAAATCAATTTCGTATTTTTACTCTTCCTTTTGACGGCGCATCATGAGAGCAACAGTTGAACGTTGTTGGCCACTATCGCCAAAGATTTTCTTCCGAGTCAATTCTCCTTTGAAGCGACCGATTTAAAACTTTTCAAGGGCAATTCAGCAAGTACTTGATCCAACAAGCTGTAGGCTGGCAGAAGGGGCTTCAAGGCCTAATCAATGCTAGGGAATGATCAGACAGCACGATCGCGATCGAGACGCAGACTGCGTCGCGGGTGCGAGGGGTCGCCTTTTAGCCGCCAACCGCGTTGAATCAAATGATAGATTGCTAAGAAAAAGCACAGATTCTGAGCTTCAGAATTCTATGGCAAACTGCAGATGTGCAATTATGAACAATTACCAAATTAAAAGAATGTGCGGAGTAGAAAGATCTCGGAAGATGTTATATGATGGTATTAAGAGAGGAACTCTTGGGGAAGAATTGGTAGCAAAGTAAAAGGGTATTAGAAATGAGTATACCTTTCTCGATTTTTGCGCCTTTCTTGGGTGTTGTATTTGCCAGGTCCTCCTCTGCTTCAAATGATTGCGACACAGAAGTCTAAAATGAAATAATCTAAATGCTCTTGAAAGATAGTTCCAGAATGAGACTTTATTTTTTGGTCATATCCTTGCTCTATAGACATTTAAACACATTTCTTCAAACATTCTGTACCAAAATTCCTACCGTGGTCACTTTGGAACCTGGCTTTGGTTGGTAGCCGCTTCCCAAAGATGAGAAACCGGGACCAAAAATGGTAACTGTTTCACCGCGCTCATAGTCAAATGATGGTGTGGTGCCGTATGGGACAGGTGAGACGGGACTGAAATTAAACCTGCACAAACGAACAGATTTTGCATATTTCGGGTCGCTCAATACTCCTCGCAATTTGCGAAAAAAAAATTACCACACCTCGCCAGAGTCGCCCAACTTCGCGTCGCATCGCCATCTCCTGCTCCAGGTGGACAAGTTCTGAATCCAAAAGCAGCAGTCTTAGCTCCAACAGAGCATCTTCTCAGAAGTAGCTGTTTGGGCACGACAGTCGGCCAAATTCAAAGGCTTTTTCCAGCTTTTCTCAATCAGAAGTTTACTCAGAGCGATTGTTCATTATAGGGCCGAATAATACATCATGAGTAAACTGGAAAGAACCTTGAATCTGACCAACTACCGTGCCCAACGAAGCCCATCTATATATCAGAAGATGCAGCTCGTCAAGTTGATTTGAATGGTGCTTTTGGATTCAGAATCCTTTTACTCAGAAGCAAGATATGGCGATGGACGCAAAGTTCGGCCAAATCCGGCGGAGTGCGGTGTTTTTCACGAATCACAAGCGGTTTTGTGGCGGTATACCTGTGCAGCTTCAAATCCTTCGACTCTTCCGCATAATCAGGGTATTCTGCCGTAGTCCGCCTTTTACCCGATTCTAGATAGTCAGAAGGTGCAGTAGTGGTTTTCCTCCTGGCCGCCGACGTCTCCTCGTAATCCACCTCAGGCACCTCGGGTGGTGGTCTTTCTTCAACTCCCTCTTCCTCGCCTCCAGTTAGGGGTGGTGCCGTCGAAGCACACGATGGTGGCTAAGAAGAACGGATAAGCCTTCCGTCTTGTGCGGAAACAGGCACTTACTGTAATTCCTTGACACATCCCAGCTTTTTTCATGCACATCTGTATCTGGCAAAAAAACCAAACTCCAGGCTTGTCGGCGAATTTGAACACCTAAATAAAGGATACTTTGCCGATACTTGCTTTGAAAGTCAAAAGGAAAAAGATTTGGGTTTGCGCTTGAATTGGGTCAAACAAAATAATTCTAAAGCTATTCTCATTTTACGGTTTTATTCTGCAGTCCGACTAGTTGAATCACTACTTCATCCTTTTTTGATGACCTTGAGTTTGTAAATGATAAATAAATAAATGAATAGCATATTCTTGTGGAGTATACTGAAGCTTATAAATTCGGAAAAATATATTTTATTGAACAAGCAAAATTATTACACAGGCAGTAGCGAGCGAACGTTAATTGCATGACGGGTTTTTCGTCAACCTTAGAGACTTCCCAAATTAGCAGAAGCAACGGCCAGACAGAAACACGAAACAAGCGTTAAGTTCAAAAAGAGCTTATTTACGGTTATTTTTGGTATTTGCAACACAAATTTCGTTCGAAAAGGCAAAAAAAGCATTTCGAATGAAAGAAAAAGAAAACAGTGATTTTCATTGCAATCATCTAGTAATTTGTTTCGCAGCTGCTGACATTGTTTTGATGCTCTAAATATAGGTTCCACTCTGCAACACGGATTAGGTTGCCCCTTCGGGTACCTGTTGCAATATCGCAATCCGGTTAATTACTCGGTAAAGTTTTTTGAAATAAAGGAAAAAAGTCATTTCATTTACACTTTTAAATCTGCTTTCCGGAACTTTGAGTGCACTGACCATTGGAGATTCGGAAAACAAAGCGAGTGGTTGATAAATACAAAATTTTCACATCTGATCGGGTAGGGATGTAGTATGGTATCCAATATACCATAAGTTCCGTCCGTTTTAATCCAGTCGCATTAAGCCATGAGCTTCTTGATTTTAGATAGGTCTCAAGGTACCATTTGATAGAGCGAAGCAAGTCTACAATAAGGTGCTTTTGAATTCGTGCCAGTGCAAATCCTTTTCAAGTGAAACTAAAAAGATCAACCGCCCGAAAAATAAAGAGGAAATCGTAACTCCATCAAAAAAATCCTAGAAAATTCCTAACTTGCTCACAGACACGCTATCCACATAAGCCATTTCTTTATACTGAAACCTATCTAGACTTAGAATTAAGAAGTTCATGAACTATTGCGAATGGAAATCAAACCGGACGAAACTTATGGGCCAATCTATAACATTCAAGTACGATTGATCTCGCAGTTCCATCATTGAACGATATCACTGATCCTATAAACTTCCAGTAATAGCGAGATATTGAGACAGAGATCAGAGACTGCCTGTCATGCTTGTTGCTCAAACGCACAAACTCTACTACCAACAAGACATTCTCGGGGTGAGCTCAAACTAGCTGAAAATTAAACTTATTTGACAATGGAAAGCTCACAGTGCTCCATCAAGAAATTCGAACTTAGAAAATAAAAATCAAACTTGGAATAAAAAAATTGTATGCGTAGATTATGCGAATAAGAAGTAAATACGTACACTAGAGTTTCTTCCCCTCCTTCCTTCACCCCGACTTACTACTCTCTCCTTCAATCCCAGAAAAGGCATGCGAACGGCGCTTTTAAAATTACGTTAATGTGACGGCGGAGTGACAAAAAGTCAACGAGATAGGCGAAGAAATGTAATAGCCATTACTATTGTATTATTGACATCCACATGCACAAGAGGAAAATAGAATTCAATCCAGATGGATGTATTGTTTGTTTTCAATTGTGCGATGAGAACAGAGTTGCTTTTTTATGAGAGAACAAATTCGCTATCACTTTGAAAGAACAAAAACAACGTGAGATGGAAAATAATTTGTGATTGTAATGAGTAGACATGATCAAATCTGATAACTCACTTTGAAATTTCCAAATATGTTACTATTAAAGTTCAAAAAATACGAAAAAGGGAATACCATTATAAGCACTTGAATCAGGCCGTTAACATAGGTAATATCGTACTCACCGAAGATTCCGCGTACGCTCTTTGTAAATCTGCGGAATATCTGATTCCAGTAATTAGGATGGGATCTACAGGGCAGCTAAAAGTAAACCTTGCGGGGAAAATTTGGAATGGAATTTTGCCATCAACCAAAATGGCAAATATCTCACCCCTTGTCGTTAATGACATCTGCTTTCTTCCCAAAACCATCGGTTACGTAGCAGTTGTTAATGAGCACTCCAAACATTTCTGAAACAAGAATCTGTCATCAAAGTCTTCGAATTGTTTCCTGTCAACTGACTATCATTGCAGTGCCACTGGTGAAGCACTCGGTCCCCAACTCGAGCGAACTGTATGGGTGGGCCAGCTGGTTTTCCTTCGTCCAAGTCCTCGATGGAACTTCGATGAATACTATACGAACAGCCGGGGATGCCATGTCGAGCTTCGAGTTCCGTTGTGGGGATCATGCTAAATTATGCAATTTTAGTATACCGATTCTGATTTTCCTACTGATGTGAGTTTAAGAGATTATATTTTCACGACAGTGCAGATCTTATCTACAATGTATTGTGAGGCAGAAAAACCGTAACTCTAAAGCAAGGGTAAAAAAACATTAATTTCTGTTGACAGCCAAAAGCATTTCATATAGAGCTGATCACACTTGGAAATGTGTGCCTCGGCCTTCGATCAAGCACTTAATCTTCTCCGCGAATTCCTTAGAACTATCAACCATTTCCAGTAGGTTGACTCCATCATTGGTCTCATTAGACAAGTTTTGGGTAAAGAGGATCATGCGCTTTTTAGCAGCGCTTGAACCAAAAAATTGTTAGCTTGTATTAGGTTTTCAAGAAAATAATGTCCGTTTTTATTTGCTTGCTTTAACAAAGCAACCCTCGACCCATCAAAGGGTAAGGGGTACTGTTCGATAGAGCAAAGCAAGCTCTACAAGATGGCTTTCATGATTTTGCGCCAAGCTCGACCCATGGAAAGTTCGAACTCAAAATCTGAAAATATCCAAATGTCCAAAAAATTGAAAAAAATTAGATCTTTGTCCGTATGATTTCTACAGGCCTCCCACTCGCTCACATCAATACTGTCGATATTTGATATCCATATGTACGATTGCCGTATTTTTTCCTTGACTATAAACTGAGAAAACGAAAATTTCCCTGATTTTCTCAAAGCAATGCTGAGCCGTTTTTGCATATGTAGTTATATACTACAATCCTAGGTAAGTATAACTGTAGATTTTCAACCCATTCCAAGCGGTAGTTTTCGAAAAATAAGGAATTCGGATTTTTTCGTTTCAGTTTCAGTGCTAAAATCAACATTTCTCGAAAACTACCGCTTGGAATGGGCTGAAAATCTACAGTTATACTTACCTAGGCTTGTAGTATAGAACTATAATACATATGCAAAAACAGCTCAGCATTGCTTTGAGAAAATCAGGGAAATTTTCGTTTTCTCAGTTTCTAGTCAAGGAAAAAATACGGCAATCGCACATATGGATATCAGATATCGATAGTATTGATGTGAGCGAGTGGGAGGTCCGTAGAAATTATTTGGACGAAGATCTGTTTTTTTTCATTTTTTTTGGCCTTTGGAAATCTTTAGATTTTGAGTTCGAACTCTCCGTGGATCGAGCGTAACGCAAAGACATTAGTGCCATCTTGTAGAGCTTGTTTTGCTCTACCGAATAGTATGCCTTAGCCTTTGTTGGGTCGAGTCTGGTTGCTTTGTTAAAGCAAGCAAATAAAAACGGACATTATTTTCTTGACAACCTAATAGTTGAATCTTGCCTGATAAAGAAAAGCATCAATTAACAACTCAAAAAGTTTCCAAACGAATACTTTTCCTATCAGTTTAATCATAAAAGGACTAAACACTTTGGAAAAGACAGCTAATGTCATTGCAATAAAAAAAACATGAAAAGAAGTTGAAAAGCCTTTCTTTTGAAAGCTTGTCACACTTCATTTAGACCACATTGTAGACATAGTTTGCTTCAAATGTTTACTGGCATTCTGAAATTTTGGTTCAAAGAGCCTGGGCAAAGGAATGCCAGATTTGAACCGAGATTGAAATCGAAAATATTTTTCCCCTAGTAGTGTCCATTGCGATCATTCCTTTCCGTTCGTGGATGCTCAGTCCAAACCGTTACACCTGCCCCAGCAGTAGTCGCAAAATGCTGAGCGCCTAGGTCCGGTTCCTTAGCTACAACCGCGACAATGACCAGTCGGATCCGGTTTAGACGGTGAGAGTTTCATTGTAGTCAGGTATCATTATGCCTGAATACTCCGACTCGATTCGTCAAGAATCCACACATCGCGCAGACCAACGGCGACGACATAATTGGCAGGGCGCGAATTATTAGAGGCGACCCAGATTGGCGCCCCCTATGGACCGGTGGCTGAGCTGATGTTTCGCTCGGAAGAACAACGTCCAGCGTTTTACTTCCGCTCCAAGAAGGGCAAGTCAGGTTGCAGTTCGGCGAAAGTGGCAAGAGGGAACGGAGAACAATCGGGGCTAAACGGTTTCGTACCTGACTCCGAGCTCAGCTGTCAGACCCCGGCTGGCCTCTTCAAAGAAACACTTCACGTGGAAGGCTTGATCCACTTTGGTGATGAACAGCTGAAGTTCCTATGTTTATGATATGGATGCTCCAAACAAAAGTAAACTCACCGGATGAAAAGAAACGACCACGGTGATACCGTAGTACATACCGCGAGGATCGACCTGAACGCACGAATATATGGAAATCTTCATATCGTCCGTCTTCATGGAATCGAAATAAATAATAATGTTTGATTAAGCTAATTAAATTGAACATTCGTCAGGGATTGTTACGATCTAATCATCTGCAGCCGATTATTTATAACTTATTTTTCCCTCGTAAATAAATACTTCAAATGCAATAAAACCAAAGTATAAATCAAAATAAAACAAAAAAGTGGGTTGGGTTGAGTTTGACGATTATACAGTGTATTTATTACGCACTTGTCTACATTTTCTATTTTCATTTTTTTATTAGTTGGACACACTTCGATTTGAGAATAAATAAGTAAACTAACAAGGTCTGAGATAGCAAAGGTAGATCTTCAGAAGAATCGTGTTAGAAAATAAATAGGTCTTCTTGAAAGCGGTAGGATATATTTATTTCAAACTGTGAAAATTTTCTCTTGATTTTTCGCTAAGGTACAAACTTGAGCTTTTGGAATATTGCGTGTACATCCATCAAAATTGCGAAATATATACCATGTTAGAATGTTGAGAGAAAGAACAAGAAAAGAAACAAACAAAAATCAACGGTTAACAAGAAAAGCCCAGGATGTATCTACTTATTGTTAGCAAAGAAACCTACCGATCTCAAACTCCTCATGCCACAAACACCAAATCGTAGGTCAAAATGCGGCTTTTTCGTCCGATCTTTGACAAAATCGTCTTTGTAGCATTCTTCAACGTCGGCTCTTCCTTTAGCATAAATTCTACCTGAAGCACCCTATCGGTTTTTTTGTCATTTTCATCCTCTGTGTTATGAATAGGCCCATGCTCACCTGCGAAGGGTTTTCGAGTTTTTACCCATACCCGAATCTCTTCGTCTAAACATTCGATGTCGGGCTCACCGACTATATCGTTGTCGATACTTATACTTCGAGTGGAGGAGATCTCAAGAAAAAATAGCTTGAAATTTGGAAAGGTGAAGAGCCAAGTGAATGGTAAACTTACGACTAGTGCGATCAGTGCTAGCCGTTGGCATAGCGTGATCATCTCCGTATAATGTAAAAAGTTGGCGAACAGCCAAGCTGTTCGAAATTCTGAGCACGATTTACAGAAGCTCTGTAAAAATTGGTTGGAGACACATGATTATCTTATTCCAAGTTTTAAGGGGAAGGAAGGAGAAGTGAGGGTCACTAATTCATAATTTCGATTTTTGCCCAAACGCTGTCAGTTGAGAGATGAAGCAGTATCAAAAAAATTTGGAAAAGACGGTGTGAAAAAAATGGAAGGATTAGCAGAAGGATAGCACCGAATGAGAGGTGTGGGTTGAAGAGTTCCAGCTGCAGCAATTGCACGAAAAACTTGTCAGGACAAAGAAGGAAATTACGGAAAAAGGAAAAGAGAATTCATTTTATTGGAAGAGACGTAGAATAAAAAGAACTTGGACTTTGTTGAAATTGTTATTCAAAGAGGAGCACTGGAAAACACTATATAATATAGACTAATATCCATAGAATAACGAATCTATGAAGCCAGTTATGCTAGCAAGCGGGTAAAACCATAATGGTTGTATACCTTATCTGATTATGAAAAGTTATAGATATTTTCATTTGAAGCAGGAAAGAATGCCAAACTAATAGAAAACAACTGATGAAGCTTCCCCAAAGTGCACTGCTCTTCATCGTTCTATCTCGAGAAATCAAACGCTCTAACAAGTAAGTAAAATGCGCAATGTTTGTTTCGAACGACAGATCTCTACTTGTACAGTTTTCGAGGGTAAAAAAGTAAACGAAGCACTGGTACATAGAGCAGCTGTCTTCGTTTTGAGAGAAATGAGGAAACCAGTATATCCGCGCGATCCGCGCAAAAGGGACTAACAAGAGAATGGTCAGAAGTCGAAGTGGCCAAACCAAAGAAGCTGTATGTCATTCGATGCAGTATAAAACGCTGATTTCGAATCTGTCTTCCTTATCTGCTTCCCGCTTCTGTGGACGAAGCTACAAGCGGTTTTATTGTGAAAAAATCATACATAAAAACAGCGAAATTGAGCACATTGTTGCGCTTTTAGCTCAGCTTCTGGCTTCAAAAATTTTAAGTAAGCTAGCTGCGTTTTGGCCCAGATTGAGACGAGCGTGGCTCTGTACGGCTAAATTTTCAATTTCACGCATAATTTCTTAGCAACATAATGGTCTTTAATGGCTTATAGCTTCGTCCAGAAAAGCGATAAGCAGGTAAGGAAGACAGATTTAGAGTCAGCGCTTCATGCTGCATCTAATGGTATGCAGCTTGTCTGGAATGGCCACTTCGATTTCTGACCATTCCCTTGTAAGCACAAAGAAGCTCTAATGCTCTAGTCTTAGAAAGAAATAATTTGATACCTTGAATCACTTAGGCAGTTGTGAACGCGGGCGGTATGCCTACGTATATAGTGTGGGCCACAGCCAGTTTCACATAGGTACCTCCGCGGCGCACCCGCAGCGCGCGTCCTTTTTGATGCTTCTCACATCACTTATGAGCATTACTTCGAAAAAACGTATGCAAGAATAAAACGCAACCTCCATTGGTATAGAGCATTCGAAAAATCGTGACGGTGGGCGACCGCGCGCGACACGCACGCATTTCCATTTATTTCTTGGTTTCTATCTCTACTCGAATGGTTTTTATGCCTACATATGATAGTATTCAGACACTGGTGCCTGAGCTGAGCCTTGAGATGATGCCTGTTTGTATGGCTGTTTTATGCTCCTGTTGGGCAAAGAGTTAAACTCGTCGTCACGATTTTAAAAATTAAATCCCACCTCAATTCAAGGAATGGATGCAATTGGACTTGCACTGGGGTATAAATGGTGATAAGTACACATAGAGCAAAAAAGAACACCAGCATGATCAAAATGTTTCTCTCCGTGGAAGTAGAAACTAGAAGGGTAGAAAATTTCAAGAACGTTCTTATGAGCAAATTCCTACGCTTCTCGAAGGGCTTCTGACTTCATGCACCTTCTGCACTTTACAAATCAAGCCGAGAGGGACTTTTATTTTGTATAAGAAGTATTCGAAGGAATAATTTCTTAAAATTTGCTCAAATCTCAATTTCTAATGAGGGATTGTTTAGTCGAAGTGGGCTTTCTAAATGAGATGTACACCGTACTGAGAGGTATAAAAGGCTGATTCCAAGTCTGCCTTCCTTATGTGCAGATCGTTTATGGACGAGGAGTTAGGAGCGTTTTTTGGAGCCAGGAATTGAATGCGCATTTTGGATAATATGAGTTGCTAAAATCTTATTAGCCCTTAAATAATGCAACCAAGTGTGTTATATTTTTTATCTTGGAGTAGAATTTTTATTTTGAATAAGGTGCTCTGATGATAGTAACTGTTCCAGGGAAGAGCTAGAATGAGTATTACGGCTATCTTTGTCCTACTTGCACATTCAATTTTTTGCTCCAATGGGCGATCGTAACTCCTCGTCTATAAAAGTTCTGCAGATAAGGGAAGCAGATTTGGAATCAGCATTTTACTCCCTTCAACATAGTACACATCTCATCTGAAAAGCCACTTTGACTAAACATGCATTTCGTGTAAGAAAAATAGAAAAAACACAAGACTATCACTTAAGATGAAAGTTCTCACGACTAATAGAGCACGTGAAACCTCTCACCGTTATCGCGGATTGCGTACCTAAAATAACAAATGCAAGAAAATGAGGGAGAAGCGAGAATCCATCAGAAGCTAGGACAGGAGTCGCACAGAAGGCCTGCGTTGCGGGTGCGTCGCGCAGATACTTATGGGAAGCCGGCCGGGTCTACGCTATAGCCATTTCTCGAGATTTTTCTTTTTATATTTTTCTTTTCTTTTCTTTTGACCATATCATTTCTGATTATTATCTCCGATACTTACATTCGCGCTACAAATTATACGGAAATCCTATTATCCTCACTCGGTGCATAGACGTAAGAAGGTAAGGTGCCATGTCAGCAATTCTCAAATCACCGACATTGAATAACAGATATGGGAAAACGAGAAAGAATTTTTTTTCATGTAATTTTTATAGGTAGATGATGGAATATGAACATATGAATGGAAAAACCTCAAAAGATATGGTAGTAGGCGAGAAAATTCGGAATATATCTAAATCTGGAAGAATCACGTCCCATGGGTAGTCATTAGCACTGAATACAAATAAAAATCGAATTCGTGAAGTTTTTGCAGTTTGACGACTTGATCGAAAGGGCAATGAATCGTCACAAAATCGTAGCTAATTATGTCGCGACACTCAAATCATATAGGTTAGGAGGTGGGAATTACAAATTGTCGACGCGTCGCAACTCGCGGAGCTCCGGAAAAGGGAAAGCCGCAAGCGATCCGCGACGGCGGAGGGCGGTGTCGAAGGCGACGAGAGACGGAGGAGCGCGACCTCACTACTGTAAGTTGACTCAATGCGGTGAAAGTTCGGCGGATGTCAACCGGATCTCGTTCTCGTCTTTGAGGGCAGTGACGAAACTCGCGTCTCGGTATGGGTCAAACGAGGCATGGTGGCCTTCCAGCTGAAAGAATCAGGCAGTCTGACCCCTGTCCTGGAACATATGAGTTTGCTGAAAGCAAGGCTGTGGAAGCTCTAACACTACTTTGGGGAGGGTTTTCATTATTAAATATGAGATTAGTAAGTTTGGCACGCTATTTGCAAAGGTCACCAGAAAGCAATGTCTTTTCTTGGGCTTTCCTCCCTAGATTGTATGGATTTGTACGATGGATTTGTACTTCGAGAGGCTTGCTATACTGTTTTCTTTCTTGCAACTATCAAAAAATGAGAATAAATAATAATACACTGCTGTATTTGTGAGAACATAGGGGCGGAGTGTACCACTTTCCGATTACTCTTATTTCTTGATAGTTGTAGAAAAATTGACAATTGCTTAAAATTTTGTATGTGTCTAATATACTCGTAAGGCGATAGGTTTATGGAACTTTCTAGGTCCGATGCTGGACTTTGGAGGAATTTTTGCTTTACATGTAGTGTATCAAAGGAAACCGAAAAGTTCACGCATCGCTAATCGCACTTACTGCTGGTAATAGAGTGATTCAAATTCATTGAATGGCATGAAGCTTCCTCGTAACACTCGTGGCATACAATTCTGTATACAATCTTTGAAAGGTACTACAATACTACACCGCGATATATGTAGTGTAATAAATTTGAAAACTAGTATAGTGCTATTGCGGAGGTGATACCAATTGCTCGTAAAAAACGCATAGACAAAATAACAGAAAATTTCGAGTGCCCATTTACTTGGTTATTGGCTGGCAATGCTAACTCCTAAAAAGAGAAGTATTCTCTTCTATTAACTACTGTCAATATCATGTGAAAAAGCGATGAAAGGCTTTAGTATGTTCTTGAACAACACGCAGAGCTAAGAAGTTCTGCAGAACTCTAGGCGGAACTTGCGATCCTTTGTGAGAGCATTTGACGTGATTTTGAAGAGGTCTACAGATATTGGCCTTTGATGAACACGACCGGACTGTGAGGACTGAAGGGCTGCAGCCGACTGAACCCTTTCGAAGTTCAAAAACGGTACACCCTTCTTCTCTTTTTTATTTATGGTTATGTCTTCTAGTTCTGTCTTGTCGACAGTTTCGCAGCTGCGCGAGAGCTAAATCATGTTCGACTTTCTTTTCCGAGTACAAAAAGAGAAGAAAATAGCGCCTGCGAGAACGTTACATGAGTCCTTCGTCATATGTCGCGAAATTTCGAAACTGGAGGCCGGTTTGAACTAATATCCGGTTAATTGCTGGTGTTCCGTTCATAGGATTGTAATTAAGATGCGGGAGAACGAAATCGTCGAAGTAGCACTGGTTCAATATGATCGATAGCCCCATCCATTGGTTTTTTGAGTGAGTAATAGAGAAATTAACTGAAAATTTTTCAGATGCTGTGTCTTGTGTAGCTGGCAAAATCAAATTTCGCGATTGTGGAAGAACGCTTATGTAGAAGCATTCTTATACACCACTAGCTGGCTTACCCGGCTCCGCCGTATGTTCCGAATAGAAAATTCCATTTCTTAACCGATCCGGACCAAACTTGGCACACATACACTTCGGGCCCCCTTCGGGTGTCACAGTCCACTTTTTGTTATCGATCGATGATAAAATCGATATCGATCGATGACGAAAAGTAGCCTATGACACCCGCCGGGGCCCGAAGGGTATGTGTGCCAAGTTTGGTCCGGATCGGTTAAGAAATGGAATTTTCTATTCGGAACATACGTACACACATACAGACAGACATACATACATACAAACAGACATTCAGCTTTATATATAAGATAACTTACGAAGTTTGGACTTTTTTCAATTCTTCAAACAGCTGGGTTTTTCTAGTTATTGGTCACAACTTCGCATAGTTCAAGAATGCAAATTAAAACACTAATTTGTAGAGCTTGCACTGCTATATCAAATACATACTCACAGGATCTATATGGAATATGCGAAATATGACTTACTGCCTTACCCTCGAAACATAGAGCCACGTACTCTGGTGACCTTCACTTTGAGGGCTATGGGGGGGGGGGGGACACAACCTTCACCTGGAAAAAAACAGAAGTCATCCGGGGCTTCGCCCCGGATGTTATTATCCTGACTATATCGGAACGAATGTTGATGAAGCAAATATAGGGAATAATATTTCTAGTTTATTTCAGCGAAACCCAGAATTTGCGTTTTCATAGCTTTTTTTACCTTAAAAAGAAGGGTGGAATCTATGCCAGAATTCAAGACAAAATTTCTCAGTTATCCTTTTATTTGAATAAAATCGAGTTTCAGAAGTTTAGGAAAGCTTGAAGTTAAATAAAGACGAGAACTGCGCTTCATTCTTGCGCAGAGAGTCGCGAACGAACGCTGGTCTATCTCGTTAATGAGTGATTCTCAAAGCTTGGGACGTTGTCAGTTCTCCTCGTCGTGTCATGCGATCAGAATGATATAAATGTTGCAGAGTTTCGTTGAGACCCCGCGGAGATCTACTACCAGAGCCAAATGCTCCGTCGGCTCTGGTCTGTCTCCGCTGCTCGTCTGCGTCTCCGCGCGCTGCGCGCTGCCTCGCAACCCCAAACGCGGGGCACGGGGCATTTGGCTCTGATACCCTTTTATTTGATGTTTCGAACCCAATTCTAGCAAGCTGTATATGATTTTGAAGCTCCAGATCTTTATTTTCACGCTGACAACGTCCCAGAACCACATTTTTGATTTGAACGAGAAATCCGGCAAAAACCTTGTTTTCGAAAATCTCTTGTTTCTCTCCTAGTTTAACCACTTTCACGCGGTTTTTCCTTGCATTCTATGGATCTGGCTTCTGTTCATAATGCAGACAACCACCCAGCCCTTACCTCTTCGATTATGGTGGCAATTTTTGCGAAAAATCGTAAAAAGTGCGTTTTTCTTTACCTTGTTCTGTTTCAGTGCTTTCGCATCGATTTGTTTCCTCCTTGGGCGATTATTGCTCAGAACAATAAGCGCAACAATCCAGACAACGTCCCAGGAAACAGGAACATCAGTGCAGGGGTAAAAATTTAAAGGACGCATCAACAGCGAAAACTTGCACTTTGAAAAGCTGCCAAATAAAAGATTTCAGACCTCTTTGCAGCGTTTTTATCCGTTTTCGCAGTTTCTTTTGCTTTTTATATCTGTTTTATGTCATATTCTCTTCGCTGATCTTCTATAAAACCTTCACTATTTATGACGTCAGATGTTCAAACAACCTTCCCTTTGGCGCCCTGTCTCTAGACTATCAAAAGTATGCTTACTGCGGTTTTGACCTGTTTTGGAGCAAGACTTATGTCACAAGCGAAGAATTGAACTTCCCATCATTTTCAACAACTTTTTCATAGAATTTGAATAAGCTCAACACTGTCAATCCCTGACATGTGTTAATTTACGACCGGATACCATGTTATCAAATGATAAGAAAAATCCTCCTTCGCAGAGGTGTGGTGCTTTTTTTTGCCAAAAAAACTTGCCCTGAATATCCGCTGAAATTTTGTAGATTCTTTTTGCATGCCAACTCTATCCAACCCTACTACACTCATCAGACCGACGCAAAAGTTCTCGCAATCAAAAGAATCTCGATAAATTACGAAAATTTTAACTTCAATCCATGGCTTGTTTTAAGAAAAAGTGGGTTTTGCACTTTAAAATGGTTATCCCAATTCGAATTTTCGTTATTTTAAAGCTTCCAAAGATACAAAGTTCGTAATTTTGAGTTTGGTTGTAAATAGTATCAAAGTGCTCATAATTATCACAAGAATTCCTGTAACGTTTAATGCTCCGTACCGTTAACGTGGGCTTTGATCAATGGTTTGCGAGGATTACTAAAATACTCAATGCTTACTTTGAATACTGTAAGGCCTTTCGGGGAGTTCAAGATCTCTTTGCTTATAACATGCAATAATAAAAGAATTTGCCTTGCAAGGAAAATTTTTTACGAGTTCTCGCATTTGTATCTATGCTATTTCCGCAGCCACAGTCTCCGAATCAGATCAGTAAAGGAGTGGGGCGATGGGCGGGGCTCGACCTCTATGTGAAGGTGCGAGGGGTATTCTGGAGCGTGAGGGCTGGTGCGGTGGAGGTGCTAGGAAGCGTCCCCTCCAGGTTCCCTTAAGTCAAAGTCCTGGTAAGTTCTGCATTTTGGGGAAGTTCCAGAGGAAGTTTTTGGGAACTTTCGAAGTGCGTTGCTCTTGGCGTCAAAGCTCTTGAGAAATTCTCATTTTTGCTCCTCCTTTCACCTCGGAGGGGACGCAGGAGTTCCTAGCACCTCTATTCGCACCAGCATTTACACTCCAGAAGGCTCCTCGCACCTTCGTGCAACAGAGGTGAAACCCAGCGCCAGCTCCACTTCTTCACTGGTCTCATTCGAAGCCTGCGGTCTGAGGGAATAGCATAGGCATGCAACGAAAATTCATGGAAAATCGTCATGCGAGGCAAATAAAAAACCTTACAGTACTCTAGGTAGGCAGTGAGTATATCTTTGGTTCGAAACTGTGTTTTGTGAAAAGAAAATGCGTTGATGAGATGATTTTCCCTGCAAAGGATTTTTCACAGTTTTTGTTTCTGCATTACCGTAGATCAAAGCTTGCCAAACGTACGGAGCATTGCTATGAACGTTTCAAAGATTTCTTGAGGATAACTATCGCCACTTTGAACCACTTTGGCACTATTTACAACCAGACTCAAAATTGCGAATTTTGATGTGTGCAATCTTTGAAGGCTTGTTTCTCTAAGGTGCCAACGAAAAGATAACTATCTTGAAGCGCAAACCACTTCTTTTTCTGAAGAAGCCATGTACTTAGGTTCAAATTTTAGTAAGTGATTGAATTTTCTTTGATTTAGGCGAGAACTTTTGCATCGACCTATATAGTAGGTCAATCCTTTTGGCATGCTAACAGAAAATTTACAAAATTTCAGCGGATATTTGGCTAAAATTAATTGCAAAACTATCAAAGAATCTCTCCAGAAAAGGGTCTTTCTTATCATTCATTATCATGAAAAGCACCAGAACATGAATTCAAACAAAAAAGAAATTTCAGTATTAAAAACGCAATCAAATTCTATGAAAAAGTTGTTGGAAATGATGAGAAGTACAAATTATTCGGTTAATAAGTCAAGAACTTGCTCCAAAACTGGCCTAAGGCCTAAAGCCCAACAAGTCAAATTTTGCTTATTCTGGATAGATTCTGTGGTTTTGATTCGATAGAGCACAGCAGCTCTACAAATTAGTGTTTTGAAAAATTGCATCAAATTTGATCTACGCAAAGTTGGGCCCAAAACTAGGAAAATCCAACTGTGCGAGAAGTCCAAAATAATTGGAAACACCATCAAAAATTACACTCGTACAAGTTGCTCAATGGATATGTTTTCACATCAGACGTACATATAGGTATACACATTCTCTGGCTGAAAATCCAAAGAACGGAAGTATCTTTGCTTCCGACAAAGCGATGCCCACACGTAGACTTCATAACTTCTCATCTGTCACCTTCTATCCGTCATTATTCATCCATTCAACAAAACACATTGGGACTATTCTCCATGCCTGCACAACTCGGAATAAGATTAGCTAATGGGCGGAGCAAGTGGGCGGAGCCGTCTAAAAGGTGCGAAGGCCCTTGAAGGTGCTAAGTACCCCTGCAAGGAAAGGCGGCGAGGCTTTGGAAACTCCTGGGCCGCCGCCGTATTGCTGTGGACGCCCAGATAATTCTTGAGGATAACTAACGGCACTTATTGATACCACTTACAACCATACTTCGTTTTACTAGCTTCAAAATGCAATCTTTGGGAGGAGTTCTGAGGATAACCTACGAAGAGCTGAATTTCGATAATGATCTTGAAGCGCAAAATTCGCTTCTTCTTGAACAAGCAATGAATTTAGGTTTAGATTCCAGTAAATTATCGAATTTCTTTTGATTTACGTGAGAACTATTGCATCGATCTAATAAGTTTAGAAAGGCGGGTACGTTTTGCCATACCAACAGAATCTACGAAACTTCAGCGGAGGTTTGGCTCAATTTTTTTTCAGAAGTAGTATCAAACCTCTCCAAAGAAGGAACATTCTTATCATTCATTACCATGGACATCCGAGCATAAATTGACACAAATTCAGGGACTTTCAGGAAGTTTCACAAAAATTAGAAACCAACTGACTGAAAAATCAAAAAAGGTGGGGACTTCGTCAGAAAAAACACCTGCAACTTGCTTAGCAGATACATTTACGATTAGATCTCATGTACACTTATCTCGGCTGAAAACTGAGAAAACGGAAGTTTCCTTAATTCCGACAAAGCGGTGCCCACCTAACGCCTCATGGTCAAAAGATCGTTCAGTAATATTTCTCATTATGTTGCAAAGGTAAATGTCCTAAATGGCAGACTTCTTTCTTGTTTCTCATTTTCCATCCTTTCTTATTCATTCAGATTTGAGAATTATTTTCCAAGCCTGCATAACCCGTAATGAGATTAGGGAAGGGGCAAGTGGGCGGAGCCTTTTAAAATGTGCTAGCTTGCCTAGAAGGTGCTAAGTACCTCTGTGAGGAAAGGCGGCGACGCTTTGGGAACTCCTGAGCCGCCGCCTTTCACCTCTCTACTGAATTAAGCCCTCAAGAATTGCCAAAATTGCTTGTTTTCGGGAGGTTTCCGTAAATTTTCTGAGGTAGAGGGATTTTAGGCCTCTGAAGTCCTCTTTGTGAGACCATTTCAGTATTTCCTCATCGTATAGGACAGAACCTTATGCAAAAAGCGCTTGTTTTCCAACTCTAGGAAATCAAGTTATTTCAAGAAACATTCCGCAGACAACGAGAACAGATCTGATTTAGCATTTTTCTCAACAACGAAAGATATTTTGTGGTGGTAGACACTTCATCCCAAGGCTTACTTTTCAAGTGAAAAGGTTACATGCCATATAGAAATTGAAAAAAAAGGTAGGCTCTCCTATTCAATTTTGAATAAGGTTTTGAGCGTTCCTGTTCTTCTGTCGTTGAGATGAGGATGGTGCCTTGTTCGCTTATATTTTGCGTTCAAACCCTGGATCAGGAATCATATGTACAGCGAGGAGCATATTACTCAAAGCGTTCAAATCAACAGCTAACACTCGCATTTTGTTGATTTTGTAAAGCACTTTCAGCATGACAGCATCTGTTTGAAAGTAAGTGCACTTTTGACAATGAGTATTGTTTAGCTATTAGCATTGGCCTTAAAATGTACGAGTTTTCCGCAAAGGTACTACTCAATGCTGTTTCCCTGTTTAACAACCATCGCCGTAAGTCTAACTTGAATTAATCGGATTAATATTAGGGTGATCCAAAAGTAATGGGGCACCTTGATTTTTTTTAACATTCTTCAAGATTTCTTTCTGATTGACTATGAAGGCCCAGCATTTTTAACGCCTTTGTATAAAGTGACCTTCGCAGGTTATCTTGACAGCACCTTGCAGCACCTCACCGACATTTCTTCGAGTGGCGCTTCAAAGAGGTCAGACAAACTTTTTTGAATGCCATCCGAATTTGGGCTGCTGCACCTGATACTCCCTCGACATATGGCATACCATTCAAGAGCTTTCCAAGCTCTTTCTAATGATTACTTGAATATCCAAAAATTGCCCATTATTTTATACAAAAAAGGCTCTATTCGAAAAAGTGTGGTTTTGGCGCAGATTTTCAGACTAAAATTCATGTTTTGGACCACAATCTTTTTAAAATGAGAAAAGTCGAAGTAATTTGCATATGCATGGATAGAGCGTAAAAAGCACTATCAGAAAGCAACTGCTAAGTTTGGGCTTATTTGATTACCTTGATGAAAGAATAAGTAATATGTCTCCTGATACTCAATGCTATATCTTCTGTTCTAAAGCCTTGGGACCACTGAGCTATTGTGGATTTTTTGACAGTCCCCTCACCCATTGCTGCGCACATATCTTTGCTAGGCTCACTTGTTTTACTGCGGCGCTGCTGCTCAAAGTTCAAAATTACTTGAAGTGGTGAGCTTTAATTTTAAGCGCTTATAGAATTAACGCCATGTGACAGTGCCCAACTATAGACCTCGATCAGAAGGTTTTGTTATGTACTAACATCTGCCAAAACTTGGACTTCCAATTAGCTTTTCTATTTGAGAAAACTGCATTTATTTTCTAGCTGCCCCATTATTTTTGGATCACCCTAATACATCTATGAACAAGCGTGAGTATTTCAGTTTACTTCGTTTTGGGTCTCGTCTTTCTTTCTGTGTGATCCTTCGCTCACAAAAATCAAAGTCAGTCTAGAAGAGCTGTTTGCAAAAGTTGAAAACAATACTAACATTGCGAGAATACGGCCGGAATACTCATGTTCGGTAGAAGCTTCACTTAAACGCCGCATCGCAGACCTGGAAGAACAGGATAATGTCATTTATTTCCTATTTAAGTAAGTGGCTTCACTTGTTGCAGTATAAAATCAAAAATTTCATTTTTAGTGGCAGTAGAATTCTTCAGCACTTACTCACCAATATTGGGATCAGACATCTTAAATATGTGGGTCTTAGTAATTGATCATTCACAAAATTTTTCAGAGAAAAATTGTAGCATCATGTGCCAGAGCTCACGTCTATACTGAGTACCTTGTAAACGTCCGTTAGTTCTTAATTCAGTTCAGCTGAAGTAAGCCTGTAAGTTATATGCTCGAGAAGTACAGCACTCCATCGATTGATGCATCAAACACTCGCAAAATCAGCCTCTGGGTGTATGACTTTATGAACGATAGCATGTGCCAGCCGCCAGCTGGGTAGTACGCGGTGCGCTGATCGCTCCGCCCCCTTGCTAATTAGCGTAGAAATGCGTTGCAGCCATTGGAAAACTCTCTAATATTTCGTTCAAGCTTCTTCAGCTGGTTGCAATTTGGATAACAGAAGATTACAAAACTTCAATTAAATTAAAAATTAGTTTTCAGGTCTTTTTTCATCATAAATTAGTTCGCAAGCCCTTTTCAATGTATTTCAGTTATTTGTTCCTAGTAGGTTTGTCCAAACTGATTTTTCATTGTAAGTATGGGGAAATTCTTTCATGTTTGGAAAAGTGTTTTTCTTCATTCACATCTGTTACTATATTGAATATTATTTATTGTGCACTCTCAAGTTTAGTTCAAAAAGAAGTCAGCTTATCGGGAAATATTATTATTACTGCTGAAACGACCAACACAATTTCCCTTTTAACGGAAAAGTAAGTTTCAAAACCCTAATCATAGCTAAAAACGGATTTCATTGCGACATGAATTTAAAACAACCATTATAGGCATTTTGTTTCAAGCAAAACGATATCACTCGTTTTTCAAATATGCGGTCATATCACACAAACTTCTTCAGATTCAAAAAAAGAAAAATCACACTGCACTTATATCTTTTCGAATCGCTTCACAAAATTCTTTTGTTTGCATTCAAAAACTGCTAGCCTCAGTCTAAATTGACCTGTAACTCAATAGAAATTGCGTGTGGACTAGTCGTAAGATGTGAGGTCACTAAGACAATCATGCCTTAGGTGTTCTAGATTGATTCCACACTTCAAAGTCTAATGTCCAGGAGTCGCTCGGTCATTCATAGGTAAATCAGCAAATCTCTTGAGTTTCACAATCAACACATTAGCTGTTCATGAGTGGCAAAAAAAAGAAACAAGAAAGCAAAACATAATTCTGTAAATAGTCAAGCTTCACCCCAGCTTGCAACAAGCTTATAGCTCACTATCAGAACTTGCTTTCACTTGACTAGGGAACATGGCCATGAACCAGTGCTAGAGCTGTACTGCAAAGAATTCTTCCATCTTACGATAGGCGGGGCTAACGGTGCGCACCTTATTGACACACACCTGCCTAAGCGCACGCTATCTTATATATAAAGCTGAATGTCTGTTTGTATGTCTGTCTGTATGTCTGTCTGTCTGTCTGTACGTATGTTCCGAATAGAAAATTCCATTTCTGAACCGATCCGGACCAAACTTGGCACACATACACTACGGGCCCCGGCGGGTGTCATAGGCTACTTTTCGTCATCGATCGATATCGATTTTATCGATTTTTATCGATTTTTTTGCTGAGTTCACCTACGGGGCTGGGAGTTGGCACAGGGGGGTAATCGAGCATGGGGATTCCGAATACAATATTGGTTTTGGGGATTATCGATTACTTTTATCGATTTTATCGATTTTTTTGCAAAGTTTGAGCTAGGGGGCTGGGAGTTGGCACAGGGGGGTAATCGAGCATGCTGATCACCCCCAAGGGGGGTGATCAGCATGCTCGATTACACCCCCTGCCAAATTCCAGCCCCCTAGCTCAAATTTTCAAAAAATCGTAAAATCGATAAAAGTAATGGACGATCTTGAAAACTAATATTGTATTCGTAATCTGCATGCTCGATTACCCCCCTGTGCAAACTCCCAGCCTCGCATGTCAAAATTTACAAAAAATCGATAAAATTAATAAAAGTAATCGATAATTCTGAAAACTAATATTGTATTCGGAATCCCCATGCTCACTTCCCCCCTGTGCCAACTCCTAGCTCTGTAGGTGAACTCTGCAAAAAAATCGATAAAAATCGGTAAAATCGACATCGATCGATAATGAAAAGTGGACTGTGACACCCGCCGGGGCCCGAAGTGTATGTGTGCCAAGTTTGGTCCGGATACGGCGGAGCCGGGTAAGCCAGCTAGTCGTTCATAAATCCGCCACCCGCCTCTCCGTCGTATTAGAATCGGCAGATGCTAAGATTGACTATGGCTAATATCGACGTCGATATCTCGGGAACCTCACCAGTCGCCGATATTGAAGACGAGGGTTGCAGGAAGGGTATAGGCCTACCCAAGATGCACCTTATTGCTCAAAAGTCGGGTACCTTATTGCTCAAAAGTCGGGTATGCCGATTATTTCTTGATAGAGGAGGCAAAGAGTGGAAGACAACTGCATGCTTTCTCAACGAGATATAGCTTTGCTACTGTTAGATATGGCGAAATTTTTGCGTTTCCCCCGAGGGCATTATGTTTCGTACCGAGCGACCCCGCTCTTCCAAAACTGCTTAAAAATAGGCAACTATTTCACCTTCACCTGATGGAAGAGTCTAGAATAGAACGAGTTTGTACCAATACAGCGCAAAAATTTGCAAATTACTATGGGAAAAAATAAATTCGCCTCGTAAATTTTACAAAAACGACGAAAATTGTGGAAAAATAAAAAGAACGATCCTCTGCTTCTCACCCTGCGAACTTCACGATTTCATACTTCGTAGATTCTTGATTGTGGGTAACATTGCTGTTTCTAGTACGATTTTTTACTGCTCACAAATCGGTAGGAAAATTGAGGTTGCTGTGGTCTTGCGCTACTATATGGGAGAGACAACTCAGGCAATCCGATTTACCTCATCAGCTAAGATGACGGAGCATCAGCTGCTATTTTGACTTCAAAATGCCGTGTTCGAATGCATCTGATATAAAGCGTCCCTTCTTAGTCCCTCATCCATTCTCAGTGGTATTTTGGTTGCTTAGGGCTTAACAATGATATCACAGAAGGATTTTTCAGTATTTGGCAACAAAGGATGCATACGGATGCACCGCAGTAGTTAATCGCACCGAACCGTACTCCAACTATATTGCATGCCTGTTTGTGTGAAATTGTCGCTTTTAATAAAGCATGCGCAACTTATCTATGTTACATATCTTCTAAACAAATACATGCAGTCTGACCGAAACTTTGAGTACACCTTGGAAAACGCCGTAACTCGCTCGGTGAATGAATTGATCCGAGAACTGGTAGAACTGGTGGAACTTGTGCATACTACTTATTGTCAATCACCAAAACGGCCCCGCCTTCGTTTGTTTAGTAATAATCCTTTATTAGGATAATAATTAATCGTAGCGAAACATACAGACCAGTACGACCACTTTAAAGATCGTTATCAGCTTTCAGTGCAAAAAGAAGGACCAATGGGATTTAAAATGTGTAATTCATTGGAAATTGAGTTTTTTGGACTTCAAACACATCAGCAGATAGCTCAAGGGACACTGATGACAACTGTGTAAATAAGATTTTTGTGGGATAAATATGAAAGCAGTTATAACGATGCGGCACTTCCGACGCAAAAACGCGTTTATTGTGCCCTGCGGCACATGAAAACATTGACTTTTTTAGATTTTGAAGATATTGCTGGATGGAGCAATCAATGCTGATTCCAAATATAACAACGAGGAAAAAGGAGTTGTTTTGTAAAAAGTTATTCGAATGCGGCTCTTTCGACGCAATATCGCGTTTATTGCGCCGTGGGGCACAAAACAATTGTGAATTTTCTAATTTTCAAACATACTATCGGATGCACCAGACACCGCTGGTTCCAAATATTTTAACCAGAGCTCAATAGGAGTAACCTGAAAGAAGTTATAGCAATGCGGCACTTCCGGCGCTTTATTGCGTTTGAAACGCAGTTTTGAAAAGCGGCACTGCCAGTGCTGTATTTCGTTAATCAGGTTCCTAATTCAGGATTGATTTCAAATACAGCATACGAGTAGAATATCAACGTAAACGAAATAGTAAAGAATTTATGACTCAACAGTTTTGTCTTTTTTTGTTACAGAAAAGCGCATATAATAGCCACAACAATATGGCAGCGAAGATGAAAGTCCCAAAAGATCAATTTGCGGCAAAATCAAATAGCAGCCATAAACTTTTGAAGCTGACAACTAATTTCGTTATTTTCCCAACCATCCAAAACGATAATGGCAAGCCAGCTAAATGGAGCTCTTTCGCAAACATTTCTCAATGAATAATAAGCAACACAATACGCAAAGTGCACCGCTGTAGTCACAGTTAAAAGGACAGCACTGCGTTACTGCTACGAGATTTATTTTTCAAAGTGCACTGCAAATTACATCACAAATCATGATTTTCACTCGAAAAGAGCGGCATACAAGTATTAGCCAATCGCTGTGCAAATTCACTTGCAAAACATATTCAAGTCAGCCTCCCAACAACTCTCTCCGAGTCACGCGTTCACTGCAAAACTATGTTATCCAACGTCGGCGAATCACCAAGGTATCGTTCAGATCGCACCGGTACCCATCCGGACCCGCCTGAACCCGCCAGAACCGACCGGAACCTGCCAAATGAGGGAAGGTAATACGCCATCGAGTTATTTGCGACTGATACATACGATCCACAGCGCGCGCAGTATCTCACGCGTCTTTTGACATGCCGATTCCCAAGGATACCTAGGATATCTCCCCTGATTCGGCAGAGTCCGGCGATTACAGGCGGGTTCCGCGTTCTAACGAATTCGGACGGGTAACGGTGGTAACGGCGGGCGCGGGCTGAATGATGCCTAACCACCACATTAATTGACCAGTACGCTCGAAAAATAGAAGATACTTGAAAAATCAGGTTTACGAAGGGTTTCGCGCCAACTTCGAGACTGTATGGCACTAAAAACTTCAATGAGTGGAGCCGGGTCTCATCCAGGTGATGTAGGTTGTCTTGGCTGCTACCGGCTATGGTGTGAACGGCCGAAAATTGAATGTGCGAATATTGAGCACGTTCTTTCTAAAAAATGCTCGTCTGATCTAATACCAAGCAATGGACTTTCTACACAAACGAATGTGTTCGATTTTGAAAATACTCGATCAGATGAGATCATCCGAATATGGGGTAGAAATTCGAGTTTCTAAATAAGTGAATAAGTGACCTTGTTCGAGTATTCGACTCAAATAAATGGTATCCTGAAAGGCATGGTGTGTTTAAGCGAATATCAGTTTACTCGAGCTTACTCGTATTATAGAACCAATTTTTTCACTGCTCTAAATAGACTCACACAATTTTTCTGAGTGCTTAGATTGAGAGACATCTTAGGAAGTGGTAGATGGTAATAGTGAACGAATTAGGAGGCCTCAATGTCTCTTTTGCTTCGCGATTTTCTTGCCAATATCTCTCAATCAAAAAACTCAGTAAGTGGCAAAAAATTCAAAGAATCATGCTGTAGTTGCAGCAAACTCAAGGTAATCATACGGTGCTGATACTTTCACATATCCACCCTAAAAATCACCGTAACTTGCGTTCTTGTTGATAAACCTGTCTGGAGTTTTGCTATATTGTGCGCATGTCAGCCTACCATCATACCTAAAGATGGCATAAAATCGCCTTGAATTAGAAAGGAGAAAACTAGGAATTGGAAAAAATACCCTAAAAGCTGGACACTCCTAAAAATCCGCTAGCTTTCTTCTTCAGCCATTACTGCATTCTTTAACTCTCAAAATACTCTTTTTTTCTACTTCCAAAGTAAGAAGCGTTGCAACGCCTACGAACTGTCGCCTCATTCAATGGGAGTTGATCTCTGCATATTTTGCTTTCAAAATCACTGAATTTGATTAGTCTCGACACTGCTCTCTTGAAAAGCTTTCAAGCTCTCTAGTCAATATAAGCCATGAACCACTGAGCTTTCTCGAAAAATGAAATAAAAGCGTTTCTATAAGCTTTTGTATGCTGAGATGGACGGACAACCTTCAACCTTACCATAGGGCAGGCATACTTTTACACCACAAAACTCGTTTTCTAATCTTCACGAAGTGTAGGGTTGCGAGCAGAGATTAGACATAATTCTGAATTTATAGTTCCTCTCTGATTCAAGTCAGATTTTGGATAGCTAACAGTAAGTAATGTTTTGAAGTTTTAACACGTTTCGGACCGCGAAATCGCGCGCTGCGAAAAAGAGTGTACTTTTGGCCGTTAGCTTACAAAGGGACCTCATTTCGCAGCCTGTGGGCCACATCTGTAATCAGCATGTCAGATAAGGTCCATACCCAAAGTTCTGAGTGAATTCGAAGTGTTTGAATTTTGTTGCTTGAGAAAGACTTTTGTGCTTTCTTGAAAGATAGGAGTAAGAACTCAGTTTCAAATAGTATTTAAAAGTATCTATGTTGTACACGGTACACATCAATATTGAAACTACGGTTTTTCTCTTTAAAATCGAAGCAAAGGAAAGTTGCGACGTCGCACGCGTCGTTCGCGTTGCCGCACTTCGTTGTAAACGTTGTTCGATTTGTCCTCATATCTCCTAAACAAATATGCGCGGCACAGCTCTGCAGAGTCATTTGAAAAGTAGGAGCTCAGATCTATGATTTTACATCTTTGGACTAAAAGTAAACCTCCTGTAAACGCCAGAAAGATCCTTCAAAGCAGCGTGCTGCACCATGTGCAGCACCGGTCCGAAACGTGTTAAGGGTGTTGGACCTGGCGGCCTGAGTTGGCATGGTCGTGCGAGATGCTCCATCTCACTTTCGAAGAATGACGGCTGTAGCGGGACCAGAATGCTCAATGCAAAGTTCTTCTCAATTTTCTACAAGAGTTCATCGCTTTAAACCGACGTACTGGCCATTTCACAGTACTTTCTGGGAGATGGTGTTGTTAAAGCGTGACAACCATGTGGTGAGGTTGAAGCTTGTCCATCAATACCAGCGAATTTTCTTGAAGCGCCTTTCAACTCACTTATCGAGAATGCTCAGCGGATTCCGTGACTTACTTTTATACGACTTAGATAACTCTTCGAGCGGGCAGGACTTTCTAGGCTAAGGCAATGCAAGAATAGTTGAAAAACATGTGGATTGACTCAGCAAGAACGATGTCACGATGATTAGAGTGAATTTAGAATAGTGTGGATAATTTAGCCTCACCATATGTAACTGATATCTTTAAATACACCCACCAGATTTTCCAAAATATAAAGTAACTAGCTGGCTTACCCGGCTCCGCCGTATGTTCCAAATAGAAAATTCCATTCCTTAACCGATCCGGACCAAACTTGGCACATACACTTCGGGCCTCGGCGGGTGTCACAGTCCACTTTTCGTTATCGATCGATGTCGATTTTATCAATTTTTTGCAAAATTTGAGCTAGGGGGCTGGAATTTGGCAGAGGGGTGTAATCGAGCATGCTGATCACCCCCACGGGGATGATCAGCATGCTCGATTACCCCCCTGTGCCAACTCGGTTCAGAAATGGAATTTACTATTCGGAACATACGTACACACAGACAGACATATACAGACATACAGACATACAGACAGACAAACAGACATTCAGCTTTATATATAAGATAGCACACTTCAATGATCGTGCTACACATGCATGCAAACGCGTAATGATCTCGTAATGCATAGAATTTGCACATCATGTTGTAATCATTACAAGAGACAGTTGCGGACATTGCCAAGGAATTTCTGTAAAAATGGGACTTCAAATTTGCTGCAATAGTGACCTACTTGTGATTAGAAAGGCGAGATTTTTCCTCTAATTTACCGAGATTTTTCGGAAGCTTTAGTAAATTTTAATAAAGCTGAATGTCGTTTGTCTGTCTGTATGTCTGTCTGTTCGTGTGTACGTATGTTCCGAATAGAAAATTCCATTTCAGAACCGATCCGGACCAAACTTGGCACACATACACTTCGAGGCTGGTCGGGTGTCATAGACTACTTTTCGTCATCGACTATGTTGAGCAAAAGGTCAGGCACAAGTCGTTCTGAGACGACTCCCCCCCCCCCTCTTCCAGGAAAGCCCCCAAACGACCTCCTCTCAATCCTCTCCAGATTATTATTATTTCCAGACCTTATTCAGACGCGATTTCATCGCCGCAATTCCTCCAACAAGACAAGCAGTCACGAGTCCACATTCTGATCATCTTGCATTTCGGTTGTGATAGTGAATCACGATTGGCGTGTTGGAAAACTATCGCAACCGAGAAGATGATCGGCGTAGACAACAATACTATAGAAGACTACAATTACAATAGACGGTTAACTGTTTGTTTTGTCGGAAGAATCGCGGCGATGAAATCGCGTGAACTCTGCCCAAGGCATAAGGAGCGTAGAAAAATTGCTTTCGATCTCAATTGAGGAAAGCCTCAATTTTCGACGAGTAAGTTCTGCTTCGGTGGAGCCATTGACCGATAACTCCAACCCTGATAAATATTGAAAGGCCACGTTCATGCAAGTATACGAGTCAAGACGCGTCTGCATATCATCTGAAGCCGGACGCTGCCATGTGCGTTAAAGGTAGGACCGGGCAAAAACTCATTTAGCAAATTCACTTACCTGGTTATCCGCCAACGCTGAATCCGAAAAATTACGTTAGATGGTGTAAAAATGGCGGGAAGCGTTTCTCAGAGCCTTACAAACTGAACATAGACGGTTGCCGCCAATACTGAGACGCAGAGTCGCTGCGGCACCGTGAGACTTCAACTGTGGTGGCATGCGTACTTTGCCGCAAAGCAGCTATTTAAACAGGTGAAAGACCCCGCCCCAAAGGCATAAGTTTCCCAACTTTGCGACTGCATTTCGTGCTTTTAATCAAAGGTTATGGCCTCGCATTGGGCGATGGCTTGTCTGAGGGGATCCACTTTCGCATGGCCTAACTTCCCAAATCCCCACCTTGTCCGGACACTGCCTTCAATGGTGCAGTAGTGTAGTGACTAGCATGCTGAAACTGAAGACGGAAGTCAAGGTTTCCATTCCGTTAGATAACGGATCCTTCTGCAGTTTGAGCTGAGTTTGATACGCATTTTACAAGTGTCAAGTATGTCACGAACATTACTGTTAGTGTCTGTGGACGATTTCATGTGCGTATCAAACTACACTCAAACTGCGAAAGGACTCGCTCCCCGTCGGATTCAAACCCTTGACCTCTCGCCTAGTGCCATCACGCTGACCACTACACTGCTGCTCCATCATCGTACATGACAGCGTCCGGATACTCAAATAGCGTAAATCCTTTTCAAAGAGCGTTCCGTAGAAACTGAATGCAGATTTAAAATCAGCGTTCAGGACTGTTCCAGATGATGTGCACCTCATATCAAATGGCCACGGTCTCTAAAAGTGCACTTTCTTTGTTAGTATTATTTGATATATTAAACTGACGTGTATTGTAAGTTACTCAGGAGTAAGCTACAAAAATTTTCTCTAAACCTCCTCGTTAGCATACTATTACGAAAGATCATCGCTCTGATCATCTCTCATGACCCGCCCTCAGATCAAGTTCCGCAGGGAGATGATCTCCCTGCTGAACTTGATCTGAGGCCACATGTGAGGGACATTGCATTCCTATAGCTTGGGGAACTGGGCTGTCGTCATTTCACCTAACGGAACTTCCCATGAGGGGATCAGGAGAGATCATCTCCTCTTACCGAGATTTACTACGAGGTTATATTTTGAGCTTATTCAACATCTTGCGTTAAGTATATTATCACGGAAATACCCCTCTTGCCAAATAAGTTTGAATCAAGATATTAAGAAGAGAAATTGTGATTCAGCTCTCAGTGCACACAGTTTTTGCATAGCTCTGTTTTATCCTTGGCATTATGCAAAAAAAGTCTTTCAAATATGCAGTCTTGCTTCGGTGGGATCAAAACCTCAAAGATTTCGCAGTAATGAATTTCATGTTGAAACAAAGCTATTTAGAAATATTTATTCAACATGCAGTATCATTTCGCTTTCTGCTCTTCTTCTGCTTTTTGTGAGTTTATCATTGGAGCAAGTGTTTGTGCATAGATCATCTAGAAAAAAATGAGTGAAATTTATAGCGGTACGCTAGCCATAACAAAAATGGGTACTATTGCACATTAGTTGACTCAAAAGACGAAAATCGCGGATTTCGTTAAAACTTTGTCTAAGGGGTTTATTTTGCACGCTGAATACGTATATCACATTTATTTCGCGCGGTGGTGCCATCCGGTGGAGTCAGGTAAGATAAGGTAGGGGGTCAAAATCACGGATTTGCCCGAAACTTGGCAGGAAAGGGTTACTTGCACCGCTGATGCCGAAAATCACATTGGTTTTGAACCGTAGCGTCACTTTCTCTTGTTACGGTAGCTATACCGTAACGGGTGTAAAACATAGTCATGCCTGAAACGGGTGTACGGCGATTCGGACGATTGTGAAGCTTTGCACACATGACCACCGCCGCGCGCTATACACTCTGCTGCGGCTTTTGCTTAATCAAAGCACAGGGGAAAGATACATTTGCCGTTACGATTTTGACCCTACCGTAAACCTACTGTAACCATGCAGGAAGACGTTTTCGTGTGAAGAGAAAGTGTTTTTTTAATCAGCATGTCGAATAACCCGCTGTGCGAAGTTACAGCGGATTTTGACCCCTTGCCGTATATCCACCGTGACCCGAGAAAATGGCGCTACAGTACAAAATCGATGTGATATTCAGCATCAACGGGCCGAATAACCCTTCTGAGCCAAGTTTCGGGCAAATCCGTGATTTTGACCCCCTACCGTAATCCTACCGTAACTCCACCGGATGGCGCTGTCGCACGGAATAAACATCATATTCATGTTTAGCGTATCAAATAATCTTCTTAGACGAATTTTTAGCGAAATTCACGATATTCATTTTTGGGTCAATTAATGTGGGATAGGCCAAAATTGTTATGAGCATTTGATAAATATATTAGACACCTGCAAAAGAGCCTAAGAACTACTGTATCATGTACTCATGCACTCACATCCCAAAGCTGGCTCCACGACCACAGCCCTGCATCTCTAGATACTTTAATCAGATGGAACGTAGTGGAGATAAGATCCCATGCAACATCTGGTTTTTCCCAACAAAATTTGATGACGAGATACAGATTGTACAAAAACTTTTGAATGGCCTAGAAAACAAGATAACTGTATATGCATTCGAGATGATTGAAGGTTTGCGACACATACAATGCATGCGTTTTGAATCGCTACAAGAATCATAATTGCGTATTCCGAGATTTTGTCGGTTGCAGATCCGCCGTCGCCACCTCCTATAAAATGCTCATATAAGTTACGGTGAGCTCAGCTTCCTTTAAGAATCGAGAGGTTGCCCAGATTATTGCTCCCAAAAGTGCAGAAATTTGAATTCGCAATATAATTAACCAAGCATACCTGGAGCACCGCCTTCTTGCTTTTCGCCTCCTTTCTCGGCACTTGATTTTGATGCTGGTGCTTTTCTAGCTGATCCACGCTGTGATCTCTGCTTTGGCGGCATATCGGAAGGCGTCGATCTTGTTGAGACCTTAGCAGCTGACATTCTGCAACGCCTAGTGCCAGTGAAATCATGCAAACCAGTAGACAGTTTGGAGTCGACCTCACCTGTCGACAGAGTTTAGTGCAAATGAGGCACCCAACAGCGGCAAGTATTTCGAGAATATTTGTCTCAAGTTAAAAGCTAAGATTGTCGTAAATAAGGGTGCAAAATAGGTATGGTCCTTCCGGAGCAATAGAGTTGAGGTACGCGGCAGTATACGCAGCAGTTTTGAATTAAGGAAATGTAAAAAAGTATTCATTACGATGGAGGTTTACGATTCAAATTGTTTTTTATTTGGCGTCTCTACAGCAGGCAGAAAAAATGGAGTGAGGAGAAACACTCGTATGTAACATTGCTGTTGATTGGAGATTCTCTGCTTCTAGACATAGGTGCGATAGGTAAAGCAAGGGCTCTGACCCTTTTCACTTTTGGGTCGACATCTGGACGACTCATTCATCTGAAGTTGTGGATGAGAATCAAGGAAAAACCTCCAATAAGTGATACACTTTTGGTTTGGAAAAGAAGCGCCACTTGCTGCTCCTTCTCAGTCGGTGCATGACTGCATGTCTGAAAGCATCATCGTTTGCTTAGAAAAACGCATGCTTGAGACTCCTGCCTCACTCAGAATGGCTCTCCATAACTAAATATATAGGAAAATTGAGAAAACCCCTGATTCTGATTAGGCAGCATAGTAACAACTAATACACATAGGCTTCTGCATAACGAAGGCTCAATATCTTTCTGCGCGAACGCTGCTTTATTAGCCGCAGAGTGCATGAGGCGCGGTTACAACGGTTACAACCAGAGTCAAGCGTGGGGTGCGGCACGCCACACCTGGGGGGTCGTATTAAGGAGCCAAAAGGGGAGGGGGTCGGTTGGGTAATCTGATAATAGTGATAACATGATATTCGTATTATATCCATAATTAGCATGTCAATTAGCCCCTGTAGACAAAGTGTGAGCGAATTCTGAAGATTCAAGATACTAGGCTACCTAAATGGAATGGTCAAATTCCAACATGGTTAACTTTGTTTCAAAGGTGAATTAGCTATCCATTTTTGCACTCAAGACAAAGCACTACTCCTTCTTTGTCCACCTCAGGAATCCGCTTCAGAAGAACCGCAAACTGTGATATTAGAAGCCAACCAAAATCTCGTTTTTCCCATTTTTCGCTTTTGATCGTTGTGCTCTCACCAAATATTACTTAGAGCTAAGAAGACAAATCAGGCAAGTGCAGTCACAGAAAATCGGCGTACACCTCTCACAAGGGAAGGATACTCGGTCGAAGTGGCCATTTGGAATGAGCTGTATATTAGGAAACCGTCCTCCGTAAGGCAAACTCAAAACTACTTTCGCTAGGTGCCGAGCGGTTTTGTGGGGGGAGTTACAAGGCCATTTTCCTCCGGCGCAGCTAGCGCACCCAGTGATGAGCGAGGCGCTAGAACGACGCAGCAGTGTGGCAGTGGCGCAGTGGCAACGCAGCGGACTGCGAAGCAGATGGTCGAGGGTTCGAGTCCTGTTGCTGCTAATTTGTTTTGCAGTTCTGTAGAAAGTCTATTGGGTGACAGCAAACGAGAAACACTATTTCTAGGCAGTCGAAACAAGCTATTAACTGCAAAAAAGTCACTATTTCTACAATAAACTATAATCTTCTACAACATATCAATCTGTGGAGGTTAAGATGTCACAACAATGGATTCAAATGATATACTAACATGTATGGAATACAACCACAAAATGCTCAAAGCAGAAGAGCTTCTCGCAGCGCGCACATCGGATTAAATATAAACGATGACAATCAGCAGCTTCACAATTGCCTATCAAAGTCGGTGAAAAACAGTACTGAATAGAAGACTCGAATTCGCCGGGGTGGTTATCAATGTATCCGGCTGCATGCCATGGGTATGAAAGGAAATTTTTGAATCGCGGCGAGCAAAACTGTGTGTAAATGAGGGATAGAATTTTAAGAATGGAATCCCTATGATGCAAGGTAAAGTTCAGATCGAGAGCCAATACATGGGATGTGAAACTTTTTTACATTGCCTTGAAAGGCAAGAAGAAATGTACGTCTAATGGTTGAATCCTGGAGGTTGTGCCCGGCGGAATGTTCATAATTTTTACAGACTTATTATCGGGCATAGCTGATTGAATTGCATGTTCATACGTGTTAATATATTACTGAAATCTATTATTGTAATATTATAATCCTTTGCATCATAATCCATTGAGAACATTTTGAGCATTTTGTGGTTGTATTCCATACATGTTAGTATATCATTTGAATCCATTGTTGTGACATCTTAACCTCCACAGATTGACATGTTGTAGAAGATTATAGTTTATTGTAGAAATAGTGACTTTTTTGCAGTAAATAGCTTGTTTCGACTGCCTAGAAATAGTATTTCTCGTTTGCTGTCACCCAATAGACTTTTTACAGAACTGCAAAACTAAATAGCAGCAACAGGACTCGAACCCTGGACCATCTGCTTCGCAGTCCGCTGCGTCGCCACTGCGCCACTGCCACACTGCTGCGTAGTTCTAGCGCCTCGCTCATCACTGGGTGCGCTGGCTGCGCCGGAGGAAAATGGCCTTGTAACTCCCCCCAAAAACCGCTCGGCACCTAGCGAAAGTAGTTTTGAGTTTGCCTTACGGAGGACGGTTTGCTAATATACAGCTCATTCCAAATGGCCACTTCGACCGAGTATCCTTCCCTTGTCAGAAATCTGAAAACTTTATAGAAAAAGATGGTGTCCTCCAGAATGTCACACTTTGAGGTCCAGAGTAAGAGGAGGAAGAAAGGGTCGTTTGAGGGCTTTCATGGGAGGGGGGGGGGGGTTCAAAAGACTTGTGCCTGACCTCTTTCTCAACTCTGGTAATGCTATCTTAAGTGTAGTTCAAGGGGGGGGGGCTTATTAAGACAGCAATCAGGGGGGGGGGGTCGTAACCAGCGATCGTGTGCCACACCCCTTGCTTGACCCTGGTTACAACGCGCGCACCGCGTTCGCGCCCGCTCGACTGATAGTGCTTCTGCGCCTTCGCCATGCAGTAGCCTTTATCGTAGGGGAAAAGTTAAGTAAGATTAGGAAGTTCGGTTCGAACAGTGATGGACGACAAGATGACAATTCGAACCATATCTCCTTTCATCAGAAGGTAATAAAAAATAAGAGCGCAGTTAGATTCCTCGTTTTGAAGTTTTCGGTTAACAATCAAAGCTTCGGAAAAGAATTTTTGTTGCTAAAAATGAAGCATGAAATACAATACCGCTCACAGAATGTGCAAAATTTCCATGAATGTCGCAGAATTCCAGGAATTCCGCGGAGGTTCGCGAAATTTCGGCAATTTCGCGAAATTCCTGGAATTCCGCGGAATTCCGGAAATTTCGCGAAATTCATGTGAATTACGCAAATTATGCAGGGCCATATCTTCCCGAATGAGTATATTCGAAATCCGAAAACAGCATTGTATTCAGCTCGTCAAGGCGGATCTTTTGGTCTACAGGTTGTGTCCAATACCTTGTCTATATAATCTTGAATTTGCACCCGGACGCCTCTTCGCATGGTGGCAACGCAACGAGCATCACACATAGGAGACTGCCGTGGGCACCGTTCGATAGTACTCTTTCACTAGATTATCGTGCGTTAAACAGCGGCCGAAGACTCTCTTTCAAAAGATATAGAAGAGCTGATAAACTCTGGAAAAAGCAAGCTGTTCCAAGTTCTACTAGCCGTAACATCCTTCAGAATGAACATTTTCGAAATACGAAAGCAGCGTTGTGTTCAGCTCATCAAGGTGAATCTTCCGGTATACAGCATGTCCTTGAAATTCCGTTTCCAATTTTCTCAAAATTTTCTGCGCGCGTATATTCGCAAGGTCGCAACGCAGCGCACATCAAACATAAAAGACTCCAATAAGCACTGTTGGATTGTGACGCTTTCGCAGATTATCGAGCGCTAAAAGGCAACCTGATGATCTTCTTGAAAAAAGATAGAAGAGCTGGTGAATTCTAGAAAAATCGCGTTGTCCCAAATTTTGTCCACCGTGACCCTAAAATGAGAAGCTCTACTGCTAAGCAGATGTGATTTTCGTAATCAGCAGGTCAGATAATCTCTATGAGCAAGTTTTCAAAGAAATTCGGGGTTTGATTTTTTCTCGTTCTACGCCCTGAAGCTCGCCGATGGGTCTTGGTCAAAATGTCGATGATCTCGGATTGTAAGGAAACTTCGCTCAAAGAGGTTATCTGACCTGCTGATTACGAAACACATCTGCTTAGCAGTAGAGCTCCTCATTTTAGGGTCATAGTGGGCAAAATTTGAGACAACGCGATTTTTCCAAAATTCACCAGCTCTTCTATCCTTTTTCAAGACGATTCTCCGGTTGCTTTTTAGCGCTCAATAATCTGGGAAAGAGCACAATCCAGCGGTACTTATCGGAATCTTTTATATTTGATGTGCGCTGCGTTGCGACCTTGTGAATATACGCGCGCAGAAAATTTTGAAAAAAATTGGAAACGGAGTTTTAAGGGCATGCTGTATACCGGAAGATTCGCCTTGATGAGCTAAACACAACGCTGCTTTCGGATTTCGAAGATGTTCATTCTGAAGGATGTTACGCCTAGTAGAACTTGGAACAGCTTGCTTTTTCCAGAGTTTATCAGCTCTTCTATCTCTTTTGAAAGAGAGTCTTCGGCTGCTGTCTAGCGCACGATAATCTAGTGAAAGAGCACTATCGAACGGTGCCCATGGCAGTCTCCTATGTATGATGCTTGTTGCGTTGCCACCACGCGAAGAGGCGTCCGGGTGCAAATTCAAGATTATATAGACAAGGTATTGGAGACACCTGTAGACCAAAAGATCCGCCTTGACGAGCTGAATACAATGCTGTTTTCGGATTTCGAACATACTCATTCGGGAAGAAGTTATGGCCCTGCATAATTTGCGTAATTCACATGAATTTCGCGAACCTTCGCGGAATTCCTGGAATTCTGCGACATTCACGGAAATTTTGCACATTCTGTGAGCGGTATTGTAGTTGCACAAAATCAGCTAATATTGTAATTGGATAAAATTGACTTTGCAATGAAGTCAGAAAAAAAGAGACGGTCTACATTGATTCTCGCTTTCTTAGCTATATAGTATCTTAAGTGTTGGTGCGCAAAGCTTTCTTGAACCAAAAAAGTCTTGCTCCGGCGACCCAAGAAAAAAAAATTCATTGTAGGTATGGGATGGAGCACTGTGTAAATATCTCCACTCCATTCTTTGAGAGGCTTTTACATTGAACATCCATATACCATCATGCCTTTAAACGAGAAATCGACATAGACTGTTCTTTTCTCTAGTCCTCCTCTGCTCAGAGCATGGCACTTTGCCTATGCGTATTTTTGTCAGCAAATTTCTATGCAAAGAATGGACAAAGATGACTAATTCTTTCACTGCTTTACAGAGCAAGACGTTCCCAGTAAACACAGACCATTTCTCTTTTTTTCATCCTTTCTCTTCATTTCGATAAGAGCGCAAAGTGATCGCACAAAATTAGCTGAAGTTGCAGTTGGATAAAGTCTCTTATATTTGAATTCCCCAGAAGACCGAAGAGCTGGAAAAAAACGGTTTTAGGCCCCAGACAGACTTCACGCGATTTGATCGTCGCGACTGAATCGCGACGAGACAACTGTTGCAACATCATTCCATGCCGATCAACTTGCATTTCGGTTGTGATACTTTTCCAGCCCGAAATTTTTGAATGTGAAATGAAAATGAATGGAAATGTCGGCGATTGAGTCGCGACGATCAAATCGCGTGAAGTCTGTCCGGGGCCTTACGTGGATTGTATACGTTCGAAGCTTTCAACAAAGTCATCAACTGATGGGAAATAAATCTTCCCTGCATCAGAAAAGTCTCTCTCGATGACCTCTCAGAGTCAAAATGCTAAAAAGATTTCCAGATCATACCTTTGTAATACTCATTCTTCTCCTTTTCATTCCTGTTTTGGTCTACATGTAAGCTAACGTCGGCATTCAAGTCGGGGCCCAGTTACCTTCTTCACTTTTTGAGGTTAGAAACCACCACACCCTCTTCACCTAGAGGGAATTATGCTCCCCCTATCGCATGTATGCTTCTAGATATCAATATCGAGATGCAATTATCTTTGATAGTCACAGCTTTTCTGTGCACTAAGCAATTTTAAACTGCAATCTTAGCTAAACAAGGACTGAGATACAATAAGAGATGGGTAAAGTGCTCCGAAGCTCCTACTATTCATCATTATTTTTCGTTCAATGGAGATAGATGCAGAATACTAATTTAAATTGCTTCAAAACTATTTAAGCTTGATTACTGAAACAAGTGCAGAAAGCTGCGAAAAAATCAAATTTGTGCACTTCTTCTCTTCAACACACTATGAAAAATCGCTACTGCTTCTCCAGACTTACAAAAACTTCATAGCCATTCTAAACGGGGATTGTAAAGCTAGAAATTTTGTCAAAGCAGTCACTGCAAAAAGCAATAACGAACAGCACCTATTATCGGAAATCGCACTTCTCGACATCCCTTTCAGTTTGATTGATCGAGCAAATAATTAAGCAAATTATTCGCTGCCGCCTTGCAACAGCACATATCTATGAAAAAATTTATTTGCGTAGGTTGGTTGGTCCTCTATTCGTGTAATGCTGCTACTGTTCATTAGCGCTGGCAGTCATGCCATATCGTGATTCTTAGGCCTGAGGCATTGGACATACGTACCTTACGCGATTTCGATCGCTGCGCGATTGCTCGCCGGACGTGTGCTCCTGACCCGTCGCGCTCAAGTATTTGAGTCGGTCCTGCCGCATTCGTGCCACTTTGTGGGGACCAAATCGCGTGCAATCGCGAGCAGTTTTTGACAGGCATACCTCTAGGGCGATATCGCCACGACATCGCCGAAATTGAGAGGAATCGCGTCGCACTCCGCACCAGCAACGGGCGATATGTCGATTCGCTTTCTTCTCTAAAGAGATTTCGTAAGTTTTTTTCTCTAATTTAAACTGATGCACTGCGATCATCATATGGCCTGCGCTTCCTGCTCACTTGTTTCAACACCTGTATCGCCCATCCACTTTTTCACTTATCCGCTTCTTTCTCTTATCCTTTCCATTTATCTACTTTAACTATAGATTTGATGGCAGTGTCCAAGCAAAAAGTCGATTTTGAGATTTTGTGTTTACCTGGGCCTATTTGCCATGCTGAATCCGATAAACCACAATGGAGAGCGCGGAAACGCCAAAAGAAGGCCCTAACACAGTAGGGAAATCGCAGGAGGGCGGGGCCGTTCACACCGCGATGTCACTTTCCCAGGCTTTAGGAGCGATCTTTCCGGTTCCGATTTTATGTCATGCGTTTTGCAGTTGGGTGGTGGTGATGTTGGTGCGGTTAGCGGAAGCGAGAAGATCGCTCCTGAAGCTGGGAAAGTGACGCCACTATGTGAACAGTCCCGCCCACCTGCAATTTCCCTTCTCCGTTAGAGCATTTTTTTGCCGTTTTCGCGCTCTCCAGTGGTGATTATCGGGTCCAGCATAGCGAATACGCCCAGGTCAGCATATAATCTCGAAATCGGCTTTTTGCTTGGACACTGCCTTTAAGGAAACGTTACTAAATTGCCTTGGCAATAAAAGTAAGTGTTTCTTGTTCTTGTTTCTTTGTGGTTTCGCTTTCCTTATGCCTTTTCAAAATTTCCTGACTAGTTGAAGGTTTTCTACTGACTTGTCTGCTGCTTTACTAATGCTACTTTACTCTACGATTGCTGCTACCCCTGGTTGGCATCTCTGACTGCGGCACTTGTGGCTAATCTGTCGGCAACTTGCAACGACTTGCTGCCAGCACGCAATACTATTGCGGCAGTAACATGTTGGCGGCAATATGATGTCTGCCATCCTTGCGACATGTTGTTGCATGTTGCAACATAGCCATACGTGCCGCAGTTAGACATGCAGCACAACAGCCAACCGCCCACCTTCATGATGATGTTTTTTGTTGTTGTTGTAAACTGCGATGACTGTACTCGTCTAATGAGGTGAGTTTCAACTTCAGTTTTTCTTTTTATGTAAAGTTTTGATACAGGCAACTTGCAACGACTTGCTGCCAGCACGCAATACTATTGCGGCAATAACATGTTGGCGGCAATATGATGTCTGCCATCCTTGAATGCTGACTGTTTTTCATGATTCTGTGTGTTGCATGCTTGCACTATGTCTGCAATCCATTAATCGTGTCCTCTCCTTGTTGTTCAGTGCTCTCCTGGCTTTTCACTCCTCTTGTAAGCTTTCTGTTTCTTACTGATGCTTTTAATGCATCGCTGTGTGAATGCTCGTGAACAGAGGCAGAATTATTCTCCCACAACCTTGTTTCTTGACTCCTGCATATTATACTTGGGTCCGAATCGAATAGAAATTCGATCATTCGAATAAAACATTCGAATATATTCGTATTCGAAATTCGATATTCGGAGTTCTTCCATTTTCGAATATTATTCGAAACTCGAATAATTGAGAGAACGGGGTTTCGAATAAAATTCGAAACTCGAATAATCAAAAAACAGGGTTTCGAATAAAATTCGAAAACTCGAATAATCAAAAAACGAGGTTTCGAATATTATTCGAAAACTCGAATAATCAAAAAACGGGGTTTCGAATAGATTTTATTCGAATGTTTTATTCGAATGTTTATCCGAAATCGTATTCGAATGTACTCCGTATTCAGATTATTCGATTTGTTGCAGAGCCAACTGCTAAGTATCAAGCTCACTTCGTCCGCGGTTTTTTTTCGCAAAACTCGGTAATGCATCTTTTGCAACCGGTATACCTTTAAACGGTATGGAAAGTCGCATTCTTCCGACTGCTTACGACAGTAAAAACATCATATGTGGATTTTAATTGATGTTTTTTCGATCAATGAGATTGTTCGCACTGCTATTGGCACCAAATCAGCAAAGAAGATATCAAATTCAAGCTCATGTTCTGAATTCATACTGAATTGAAATGGCTGTTCTTCCTTCTTTGCATGCTCATGCTTGCGGTACGCAAAGCCCACAGTAGTGAGCACTCTTGCTCGCATAAATTATTGCAAAACTGCCCATTCGTTACTTTGGAGTTTTTTGCGAATTGGTGTATACTGAGTAAAGGACTTCGCAGTTGTAGTGCAGGATTAGACGGTTTAGATCGCCGTACGCGATTTGCCAGTTACGAGATGTCTTCAAATGTAACGCCAGCTTACCACAAATGCTTAGCGTGTACAACATACTAAAATAATAAATGCCCTGCATTCTGTACTTTCAGAATAGGTTCTGGACGATTGAGTATTGCCATACCACGTCGCCACTGAAATGGCTGCAGTATGCCCGGGGTTATAGGGGCATTCCTGCTCGCTTCGCGAAGGAAACCACATGCCTTCCTCCACGAAGCTTATACCACGCAACACGAAAGTCTCCGATGAACAGGAAAATCTTGAGCTACGAGGTTGGGAGCTGGTACAAAGGGTAAGTGTGCTGATTAAAACCGAAATTTATTTTATTGATTTCAGCAATTTTTGGAAAATTTTGAGCTAGGAGTTGGTATAGGGGATACTAGGGGGCTGATTATGATTGGATCGGCTTTAGCCAGATATGTCGGCAAGTTTGAGATGTGATTGCTTTGGTTATTCGATAAATCATTCGAATATTTATTCGAAATTCGACTTCCAATATCCGAATATATTCGATATTCATTCATTCGATATTTTTGATTTTCCGAATTTATTCGAAATTCATTCATTCGATATTTTTGATTTTCCGAACTTATTCGAAATTCATTCATTCGATATTTTTGATTTTCTGAACTTATTCGATATTCGTTTATTCGAGATTTTTTATTTTCGAATTTATTCGATATTCATTCATTCGATGAAAAATTATCGAATTACCCAAGTATACTGCATATGCACCCTGTCATCACTGCTGCTTGTCAGAGCTGTGCATCTTCGTTTTTCTTCTTTCAAAGAAGGCAAAACCCTAGAAACAACCCCACACTCACCTTGTCGATAATCTATCTCATCCGAATAGCCTGTGAATTGCTGTGAAGGGAGTATGACTAATGTGGCAAATATAGACAAAGCAACAAATATACTAAATAAATATACAAAGAGAGGAGGAAAATTAAGTGGTATTACATAATTAACCTACTACTCTGGCCCTCTACTTATACGCTGCTGCAAGACGAAGGCGCAGTATCTTTGGGCGCGAACGCTGCTTTATTGGCTGCGGAGCGCATGAGGCGCAGTATCCTCAACGATAAAGATATGCATGCGTCGCGTTCGCACCTGCTCAGCCAATACTGCTTCTGCGCCTTCGTCCTGCAGCAGTCGTTATATATGCAGCGAACATAAACTAATGACAAGCATGATAAATGTATCGATAAGCTGCCAAAGAACATGACGTATACTCCTGCCCTAACGTCGAGAATGTGAGCCTCCGGTTTGTCCAAACTGTGAAGTGTGTCGTCATCAAGTCTGTCGTCGTGTTCCAAGTTCCGAAGTTTTAGCAATCTTCTATCCTGTTCTCGAGTTCTGGTCTGTTTCAGGTGGTTGACCTCGTCTAGCAAGTCTGGCAATGGACATATATGGACATGCCTGCATGATGGTCATGTGTCGTTCCTCTTCCGCGTTCTTTGAATAGAAGTATAGGGCTGGCTTTTCGCAGGTACCAAAGTCGCGTTCTAGGCAACGATAATATATTCCTTTATGATTTAAGAGGGTTATTTGGTCTGATTGGAATCACCTTTGGACACGCATCGAAAAAATGTTGTCCATATTCCTTACAGAATATGCAGATGAGCAGACCGATCCTGAAACCTCTTCCCTCCAAATCCTTTTCACTTCTCCTGACACTCGGCAGTTCGTTTCTCATAGCGGTGTCGTTTTTGCGAGATAGGTGTTTTTTGCACCGGGCGTTTGCGTTTCCGCTCTCTGGAATGACTACTATGATGCTGTGGCTGTGACGTTTTTCTGCCGCCGTGTGTACTTTCTTGTGTCTCTATTCCGGGGTGATTCGCCTTCCGTGTTGCCTGTGGTGTCTATTCTTGTGATCCAGTTCTTTATCTATTCAACAATTTCGAACTCTCATTGCGGCTTCGCTCCGATTGTTTCTTGATCTGTGTCGCCAGCCCTGACAACTGCCACTCCATGTACGAAGTCTCCTGTTGTATATAATCGTGTTCACATTGAATCTCCTCTTTCACGCTGTGCATGCTCTTCTCTCTCTTTTCCCATTTGCCTGTCGAAGTGTTTATACACTCCTTGAATTCAACTCCGAGTCTCTTCGTGTTGTTGGCGGACCTCATATCTCCGATGTGCAATGCCTCCTTGATTTCTTTTGAAAAACCGTCATCCCGTGATTTGCCATTTCGATCCGAGTCATGTCGTTGGTGCTTCACTTCATCTCGAAGTTCTGTGACCAATTCTCTGAGTTGCTGGATATCCCAGTTCGAAGTTTTCCCTTGAGACCATTCTTTACTTGAACCACTCGTCTCGCTGCCTTTTCGACTCCGTTTTGAGTGTCTCCCTTTTCCTCTATATGCCGTGCTCGAAGTTCTTTGAATTCCAGCATATAGCGCAACGATTCCTATATTATGTAAGCTGTGCAAGAGGTTTCCCATCTCCTTTGCTTGAGGGAAATGAGATCTAGCTTTGCCTAATTAAGCCTATCGTCAAATTCGTTGCACTTGTCACCCAGAGTTTTAATTTCGAAGAACCCTTGTCTCTGTGAACTTTGATGGTGACTCCTCAATAATGAATGTCTTTCTTCCGAATTCTTCCTTCACTCTTCTTTCGAGCTCTGCGATTTTGCTTGGGCTTTAACTTTCCATGTTTCCTGTGAGGCCCCGGACAGACTTCACGCGATTTGATCGTCGCGACTCAATCGCCAACTTTTCCATTCATTTTCATTTCACACTGAAAAATTTCAGGCTGGAATAGTATCACAACCGAAATGCAAGTTGATCGGCATGAAATAATGTTGTAACAGTTGTCTCGTCGCGATTCAATCGCGACGATCAAGTCGCGTGAAGTCTGTCCGGGGCCTGAGGA